TTACTCAAAACACTGTAAACGCTTTGCAATTTAATTGGAAATCGAAAGCGGTTAATATTCCTCGACACGTATATAATTTTAATGCAATTACTTTTGTAGGTACTTGATTATGTTTAAACGAGCGAAACTTGTGTTGAGTGTGATGGGACCCATTAGCGAACCCGATGCTATGTTCATTACAGTCGACTGTAAAAACTTCTAGGATTGTAAATAAAGTGCTTAAAATATATACAGATGGCTTTTGTTTTCAGTGATCATTATAGGTCGTAATAGTAATTAAGGTCGTATAATTTTTACGAGAAGTAATGGAAGATGAATAACTTGTTACTGGAATGTGCCCGGTATAAGCTACAAGGGAGAAACTTGAAGGTTAACAAAAGCGCCACAGGTGCTATAAATTGTATTATGGATATTATCCATCTACAAATAGAGTAGAAATATTACTTTTGTTTGATGCATAAGCTAGTATTTAATAGCAGTAAAGTTTCTTGTGAAAGAGTTCGTCCAGGATAGTACTGCCAAACTGCCACCTTACCTATTTCTGCCGCCAAACAGTAATGTGCTGATGAAATTACAGGCACATGGGGCTTGTCAAGTTATGTCTCAGAATGACGGGTGCATTGGCAATGCCTATCAGATTTTTGCGATTTAAATCTCTGTGTGGCACTGCAATTGTTACGGACAGGCGTGTAGCATACCATCAGGCGCACGACTTGTTTGTCCTGTCACTTAATAGTATTAAAAAAAAAATGGGCTCCACGAAAGTGGACTGGAATTAAGATTATGTAAAAGGGCCTAAATGAATAAAGGAAAAATTAAATAATAATACCATTTTTAACGTCTTATGTTACGTAATGAAATAATATGCAGTAATATGTGAATAGGATTAAAAATGACTATGGGAAAAATGGTTTCATTAATTCACCATTCATTTAACCAAAACATTCATTCAACGTTCGTCTTTAAAACTTCATATTTAACAGAAATGCGTAAAGTGTAAAATTAAGCGGCGACTAACTTTTGAAAGCACTTAAATTTTTGATGTAAAACTTTGGTTCTTTTGCAGAATTCATTTAAAATTTCTAACTCAGCACGAGACGAAGAAAGACAGAAGGCAAAGATTTAAAGATAATCTTTACGAAGATTTCAATATTGTTGGTATATACCGTATATGTATAATTATTTAAAAAGAATGAGCTTTATGTTATAATAATAACGAAGTAAAGAAAGAATAATGAAAATAAATGACCGAAGTAATTGTGTGTAGAAACAAAACATAAATCTTTGGGATCAGAAATATTTTCGCTGTCATATTAGAACGAACAAAAGATAAGCTTCGTAAACAAATGATAAATAATGGTAAATTGACAGAAAAATCCTATCACAACCAAGTAAAGCAGCCATTTTGATTAACGATGCGACCGCCTGTAGGTTGAGATGGTACGTTACATAATATATTTTCTTTTTATCAATGAAACCATGACAACCTAAAAATGTGCTACACTCTGCTAACCAAGAACCAAGAAAGAATCCAAACTATCAAGTGATATAAATAAACCGTTGTTAAACCTGGAATTTTTATATAATAACAAAATATTCTGCTCCATATTTCATAGCAGTAAAGCTTCTTGTGAAAGAATTTGTCCAAGGAAGTACCTACTGCCACCATACCTATTTCTGCCGCCAAGCAGTAATAAGAGCGTTACTGCGTTCTAGTTTTGAAGGGTATGGGTGCTAGTGAAACTATAGGTACATGGGACTTGTCAATTTTATGTCTCAGGGTGACGGGCGCAGTGGTGCAATTAGCACGGCAACTATTATAGATAGGCGTGTCGCGCACCACCAGATGCACTTGACATTATACTTTAAAACTGATAAATTATTTAAAATATTCACTGTAGTAAATTGCAATCTGAAAAGATCACAAATATTAACTCGAAATTTTCGTCAGACGAATGTATTCATGTTTCGGTTCACATTATCTTCGTTTTCTACAATTTGTTAAGTTGTAATCTGCTGTTTGTAAATTTTGTGCTGCGAGTTCCATATTTTTCTTTTAACCTTGTTTTTCTTGAATTCCGAGTACACAATTTAAACACATAAACCTAATTTGCAATACATGATCCAACAGTTTGAGATCTTCAAATCGACTTCGATGTAGCGTCTTTTTGCAAAATTCTGCTGTTTGTTTTTTTTCTTATAATTATTTCAATGCAGTCAATGTAATTAACTCAAAAGAATCAGTAACTGTAAACTAAACTGTTTTTTTTTTCCATATCAAAACACAAAAAACAAAATAAAAGGTTCTTTGTCGTAATCTAAAAATTAATAAATTAAAGCTCTAAGACGTTATTACATATCGTAAAACCTAAGCAATATTGTCGCAGGGGAGAAAGTAAATTTTTTGGTAACACCAAAGCGAGAAAGCGCACTTTACAACTGATTGACGATCACGTAAATTCTCACGAACTCAGACATAATCTCATAAATCTTGTACTAAAGCTTCAAAGCGCAAATTAGAATGTACTTTCTAATAAGTAAGTCTGATTATCGGCAATGGCCCGTAGAAAGCAAGCAATGCGCAAAAAAGTGTATGACACGCACCAAATGAGAGAAAGGTCCTAATTAGCATAACAATGACACAATGCAGTGTGAAACATGTCAGAATGTCAGATTTGATCCATAACATAATATGAGATGCATCTACATCACTCGCTCTCTAAGATTCTCGAATTGGAATTTAAAAAGGAGACTACGTCTTGTAAATTTCACTACCTTTCAAAGTGTGCTTTATCTGGGAAATCTAATTTTACATCCCTTCTCGTTGTTGGAAGCTGTCTACATCTAAATGATACTGTACTGCGCGGCAAAATTGTATTTTAACTTTACATTATACAAATTGAGGTGACAACGTTCTCTTTTTGACGCTTTGATGTGAAAACAAGATTTATTAAACATATTTTACGTAAATAACAAGACGTAAACATTAAATTTATAAAATTTATTTGCTTTGAATGAACTTTGTATAATTTAAACCTTCCGTGATTAAATAGCAACGCTCCATTGCTGCGAAATTATAATCTTGCTGCCTGCAATATTTAGACAGGCGCTTGATGGAAACAACGCAGCGAGCGTTGAGGTATTAATTAATGTAATTAATAAATAACCAGGTGAAACTTTAGTCATAACTTTGTCAAGGTATACTCTCAGCTGCAAATGTTCTTCAATGCAAACACCTAATAGTACTAATATTTCAAAGATCTGTCATAAAACCAAACTGAACAACTACCTAAGCAAGAAAATCACAGTGTTTCTTTTCATTATTACCTAAAGCATGCAATCAAATTACCGATAGTTTAAGTTTCTAGTCATTTAAGTACGTACGTAGGTACTTTTCATTCTCATTCATATAAATTTTGCTATTTACCATGAGCTGAGTTTTTGGTTAAAGGAAAAATTATTTTAAAATTAGATTAGAGTGCATAATTTCTACCTACTGTATCTGTTAAGACACGTTTAAAATTTTAATCTTTTGCAAAAAAACAAGAATAATTTGATCATTAGAGAATTAGCTCATAAATTCAATAGTAAATTAACAGATTTCGCGGATATACAAAATGGCTACTTTCATCAAGGGGCAAAGTTCAAAATGGCTTCCCATGCTTCTTATAGCGTAGATTCTTCGTGTAACTCATTGATACCCAATAGAATAGTCAGCGATAACCTTTGTGTCTAGCCCTCGACATATATTTTAAGCGTGAAAATAATAACGTGAAATCGTTCGATCTAAACCAAGGTCAAATGGCATTAATTAACCGATTAACAAACATTGCAAAATATATTTTTTGTTCTTTTAATACTTAGTTATAAGCTTGTCATCTTTATTAATCAAGTCTTTAGGACTTGCAATCTATAACTAACCACTCGAGAGTAGATATTATATACAATTCGCTTTTAGAAACAAAGCTTGTTAGCAATGAAACATTTTCACCACTGAATACAGCTTTCAGCCTGTGTTAACAAACAGGTTAAATTGATTAATCGTACCACTTTCGAAGCGGACTAACACAATTAATTTTCTGTTGAAAGGAAATTTCCGATCGACATTTCACAGTTCCAGCGTTCCCAGGTGCTAGCAATATTCTTGAAAATTCATAAAGAAATTGTGTCACCCATAACGGTTGCGTAATTTCTGTCCGGCGCCCTACTGACGACTCCAATGAACTGGAACGCAAGGTCTCCAGCCAACATTGTATTAGAAATGTCGTTCTCAATAGGATCAGTTAAAACAATACCACAGGAAGGAAACAACCGGACACAGCTAACACTGTGAAAACTATCACACCTCAACACAAAAACTGCTTCGTTCCACCGAATTTAACCTTACTATAAATGATCGTCGCAGTATCGAAATGATATCAGTCGCATTGCAGTAACGATCGACGAACATTACAAAATGTTGAAGCAGGTTCTTACCTTAGCCCTTGTCAGCGTGGCATCAGCGCAAGTGTTTCATAAAGCGGAGTTATCTAATGAGAAGACGCCATACGACTACGTCAAAAACCGATTGCAAGAACTCAGCACAGACTCTAAAACTGGATTGCCTTTATCTGGGTCGTACGAAGTGGAAGAAAGTGAAGACTATCCCGACAAGTTTGAAGGGGCGGCATCTAGTATATTGCACACAGCAGTAGGAGGTGTTGGAGGTGCCGGTGGGATTGGACTGGGACAAGGTGTTGGAGGTATTGGTCTAGGCGGCATAGGGCTAGGCCAAGGAATCGGTCTTGGGTTAGGTGGAGTTGGCGGACTTGGACAATTTGGCATTGGTGGCGTCGGCGGTGGGATTGGTGGCGGCGTCGGCGGTGGGATTGGTGGAGTCGGTGGTGGGATTGGTGGAGTCGGCGGTGGGATTGGTGGAGTCAGTGGAGGTGTCGGTGTTGGAGGATTAGGTGTCGGTGGCGTAGGTCTTGGAGGTGGCCTGCTGTACCATCCAATCTTGGGCGCGCAGGTTGGTGGTGGATTTGTTGACAAAAAAGCCTACGATGCTGCACAGAAAAAAGGTGCTGATGAAAATGTAGAAAAATTTGAAAAAAAAGCAGAAGAGGAATCTAAACACGGACAAGAAGGATTCCAAGCTGGCTCAGCAGCTGCAAAGGCTGCAAAGGGGGAATCTAGCTTCTATAAAGACGAGGAAGCCAAAAAGAAAGCTGCTGGTGATGAGAAGTTTTACGAAGGTGGACAGAAATTTGATAAACAAGGTAAGAGCTTCAGATTTAATTCCGATGTATTATATTATAGCTGCTATTTGTACACTTAACCACATGAAAATCACACACTTATCTCGAAACTTGTTTAAGGTGCCAACGAGGAACAATTGAAAAAAGCAAAAAGCCATAAAAAGGGACATGTAAGCAAAGGTTTTAAATCTTCAAGCAGTAAGAACGAGGAAGAAAAGACTGAGACCTTCTATGACGAGGCACATGATGAAGCAGATCATAAGATTGCAGGACAGAACGCTGGATCCTTCGGTGAGAAAGCAAACCAAGGATTTAAGGGCGCACATGAAGAGAAAATTCTGGATGCCAACGCGCACGGAAAGGAGGGACATCATGTATCTGAACAGAAAATCGATGATACCAAAGCCAATAAGGTAAGCGATTGTAATATACCTATTCTAGAGTGATATAAATAGACAAACAGAGTGTGTACATGAGAATAGATAGTCAATTATTTTATCATGTGACACGTTCTATCGACGACGTGGAACTAAATAAACTTTACTAGCATCCAATAATATCTATTCGTTTCTTTCATAAATTTTATCATACAAGCAACAAAATTATTGTACATTATCATTACGATCTTAAACATAATAACTAACTTGCAATCATTTATTGTAAGCTAGCAAACAAAGTGCGTCCATAAAAAAAGAATAAAGCAAATTAATGGACTATAAAACTGAAATTGTGTTGTTAACAAGATTATAAATGTTGAAATGGGACCCTTAAACGCAATGCCTTCAGGACTGCAATGTTGCAAAATAAAGGCAAAAAAGATGTTAAAACTTAATCAAATAAACAATTAAGACTCTCCGATAGTAAAGTTTCCATGTTGCTTAGTGTACTTAATGATTTCTAATAAAGTAATTCACAGGATATGTCAAACGATTTTGATGTTAACACTCACGATTTACAATTAAAATACCCACCTACTAACTAATTATTTACTGTTATACCCACAGGGTGAATTCCTGCAAAAAGGCTACAAAGGTGGTGCAGAAGTCTTGGAGAAATTCAACAATCTTGGAGCCCACTCTATCCACGGTCACCAGGAGGCAACAGGAGGCTTCCAGCAGAACAAGGGAATCCTGCCCATTCACCGTCGTTAAATCACGACGTGAATTGGCTTGGAACTGTTATAACCTGGAAACCTGACTGATGAATCGTGTTAAATAAACCGTTTTTCAACTTTTGGAATGTTTTGTTTTATTAAAAAGCTTATTATACATGCTCGACAAACATTGTATATAATTTTAATAATTATAACAAAATAATGAAGTTATTTCCCAAAAACAGCAAAACCATCGTAGAATTCAACAAAACAACATTTACATTTTTAAAAGCTAGTAACAAAGCCGATACTAGTGTTACATTTTTTTTATTATTTAAACTGCATTTTACTGTACTTTTCAAAATGTAGGTATTACAAAAAAAAAACAAATTCTTGAATAAACTACATTGTACTTCGTAAATTCAACAAAAATGAACTAATACGACACGGAATATTAATTGCACAAATGTCAAGTGACCGACTTTTTATTGCTTTTTTTTTTAATTACTATCGCCTAGACCGTAGCTAAATAATTAATTAATTCGAATTTATGGGAGCAAATAAGCTCTGTTCCTATTATTAACGAGCAATTATACTAGATAGACAATATCGATATTTATTAACATACAATTTATCGTGATAATAATAATAATAATAATCTTTATTTATCTTCAAACATGATTTCTTAAATAATGGTGGCAGGAGTGCGTGTGTGTATGTCAATGTGAATGTGATGTAAAGCGTGTGCAATAAAAAAAAATCCTTTCAGTTCCTTAATTTTACGTACATAACTGCCTCTGTGGCCGAACAGTTACCATACTGGACTGCCACACAGAGTTCCCGGGTTCGATTCCCGGGCCGATAGAAATATTTGTATGGCCTACATTTGTTTCTCTAATTAAGTAATTTGTAGTTGACTACAAATTACACCCGCGATACAGGGTTTTCCCTAGGGCTACGAGTGTGTGCGCGTTACAATTATTGTTAATAATTTTATGTCACATATGAAAGTTATGTCATCCAAATCAACAATGTAATAAAAGCCAGGCAATGATCAAATTAAAGAAACTTTATTAATGTCTTCATGCAAGTAACTAATTCGCTACAAACAAATATAACAAAATAACAAACTAAAATTAAAATCAAACTAAATTATATCTCTTCGTCTTCATTTTGTTTTTGAAAGAACATTTATTGTCATAGCCGTTGCAATACAAAATGGTAGGAGAGCCGTTTCCAAGCGAGGGTAATGCCGGAGTGTTTGAGAAATACCCAGATTCATTACTTTTTTGGCTAATAGTAAACCTACAAAGAAAAAAATAAGACACTGCAGTTAAAAACTACCAATACTTAAGTAATTAAGGAATTTTGCAAGAAATACCTAACCACTTTCATGACCCTGACAAAAATCTTACAATTATTACGTACCTACTTAAAAATATATTATTAGATTTAGATTACCGACAGTAGAGAGCAAATTTGAACGATAAAATACAATAAGTAAGCAAAATTATATGCCAATTTAAAATACAGTTGATTTTCTTTCAATATAAATTAAATCAAGAGAAAATTATGGCTACAAAATCTATTTTTTTAAATACTCCAGCAATGCTCTAGCCAAATCTTGACACCTTTGACGACTCTACACCGTGTATCTATTATTTATTAAAAACAAACTATGAAAAGAACATTATTCAAATTAAAACGTTCCAGTTAATCCAATCAGTCGGCGATTAGCATTTATTTTCCAGCCAGTGTGATGAAGAAAATCAAATTATTTACGTAATTTGATCTCTATAGTTAATTTAAAAAAAAATCAGTTTTATTTTCTATGTATGTCCTATTTGAAATTCATATTATTCCTATTGGCTTTGAGTTGTTAGTTCTATTATTATAGGAAGTTATAACATAACCAAAGATTGTTGTTCTATAATCAGATAAAAGGAATGTGCACCCACAAATTATGTATAGTCGATGCTCTAAGATACCCAGATCCCCTAACCGACTATTTGGTTCTGAGTAACTTTTAACCTGTGAGCCGTGAAATTCGTTTTGATACGCCTTCCTTATTTTTAACCGACTTGAAAGAAAAAAGGAGATTGTCAATTTGACTGTATTTTTTTGTATGTATGTTACGCTATAACTCTGCATTTGTGAACCAATTTTGATAATTCTTTTTTGTTGGAATGAAGGTACGTCAGTTGAAGGAAATATTCCACCTGTAAGGGTAGCAAACTTGGGGATGAATCCGGGTTGGCGCACTTTCCGGTAACCGATTTTAATAAAACTTGGCAAATTTATGTAATTCCACGAAATTTTGAGGTCCAATTACTTTTGCATAGTTATATATTACACTTATTTCCGTCATTAGTGAATGACGTTTTCAGAAACTTTTTAAACCAAGTTGGCCTTTAATTACATTACATAATTACAAATTTCAAACAAAAAGCTGGAAGTCCTGTACACTTTTCTGTTAAGAAGGCTCTCTTAACCAAAAGGTCGGCTAGAGGTTAGATATCTTAGGGCATCAACTGAACGTAGTTTTTAGATATGACAACAAACTCATTTACTATGCCTTCACTGTTCAATTGTAAGAGAAATATTGTATTATACGATGTAATGAAAATTTATATTAGCACTTATTATTCAACAGAGAAACAAGTGCATCTTGTATAAGAAAAATATGACACACAATCCTGTAAGATAACTGAAGGCAATAAATCCACAATTCGCAATTGCACAAAAAACATCGCAGGCGTTGCATACTTCCATGATACCGTTAGAGATTCTTTAAAAAGTTGGTGTACCCTGCCGAGTCCGGCGTGGGCGGCGTAAACACAGTCGAAGATATCTTGTTGGACGTATTGGACCTCTGCGAACAATGGACCGGTGTACGGAAATTTATTGACGTGACAATTGACTGCTGAGATATTGTATGTTTGTATTATGGGAATTTTCATACAAGTTTCTGAGGTTGTGTCAATGAAATCCAGGATAAGTTACAACGACCGACAATTTGCTGTTTCAAAGTTACGACTACTCCGGTTTTTTTTGTAGGAGTCATTGAAAGAGGCTGTGATTGAAATCCACTCTGTTTTTAGCAACTGTAGAGCTCGTTGTGAAAGAGTTCGTCCAGGGAAGTGCTGCCACCTTACCGATTTCTGCCGCCAAGCAGTAATGTTAGCATGACTGCGTTCCGGTTTGGAAGGGTAAGGGTGCTGGTGGGTGCTGGTGAAATTACAGGTCCACGGCACTTGTCAACTTGTCTCAGGGTGACAGGCGCAGTGTCAGTGCTCCTCAGATCTTTGCAATTTAAAGCTTAGCGTGACATTGCAACTGTTATGGACAGGCGTGTCCCTTACCATCAGGCACACGACTCGTTCGTCCCGTCACTTGAGATTATAAAAAAAATCCTCAAAATCCAAGTGACGGGACGAACAAGTTGTGATCCTGGTGGAGAACGACACGCCTGTCCATAGCAGTTTCAGTACCGCTCAGAGATTTAAATCGCAAAAATCTGAAGAGCACTGCTACCGCGCCTGTCACCCCGAGACATAAGTCGACAAGTCCCATGTGCCTGTAATTTCACCAGCAGCCCTTACCCTTCAAAACCGGAACGCATTAATGCTCACATCTATACAATCATCGGGAAATAAGTAACGTGACAGTACTTCCCTGGAAAAGTTTTTTCCAAGGAGCTCTTCTGCTTCTACTGTTTTCTAGAAGCGGTAATGAATGGTCAATTTATATGGATAATCCATTTTTGAAGGCACAGCAATGGTTTAGTCTGATATACAAACGTACCCCAGGAAATAAGGAAAAAAAACAAACTCGCTCACCTGACTATGTGCACTGAAGCTGCCTGAGCGTTGTTTACTAATACGCGCCGGGGTTACCAGGTTCGAATGATACGGCTGCTGTCGAACGATAGCAAATTATTCAAAGATAACATTGAACTTTACTTAAGAAAAGAAGGCATGCATGTATCAAGATTCGGCCCACATAAGATCGCTAATAGGAACAACCAGACCTGTTGATAGAGGCCAAGACAAAATTCTTATTTTCCCTTGTACGTAGCTCTATGCAGTAACGAGTAGAAAATTACTTTATCTATAAGTCAATGTTATCTAGTCATGTTTTGTGCTATTCGAGCTGAAATAATTATAAACTTAACACATAATTAATCTATTTGCCAAGTTTGACTGAAATCGATTATTGGAAATTGGGTGAAATCCAATAAACCGGATTATCCCCTAATTTGCCACCATTCGAGGTGGCATATTTAAAAATGGGACTCCCTGTTAGGTACCCCATTTCCAGAAAAAAGAATCATCAAAATCTATTCACAAATCTCGGTTACTCCGAGAACGCGTAATATAAACCCAAAAAAGAAAAAATACAGTCGCATTGAAAACCTCCTCCTTTTTTGAAATCGGTTAAAAAGACAAACTATTTTGGACATAGTTCGTTGCAGCAAACCTATAGTGATATACTAAAGTGATCTCTACATACGAGGGAGTTTGACAGCTTGCTGGTTTAGCTGTAGAAAATTCTTTCTATTTGCTTAGATCTATCATTCATAAAAATTCTTACTTTAGAGGCAATAGTAAATACACATCTACACTTTTCTTCCGATAAGTTTGTGGACAAGCTTTAACTTTAAGATTCTGCAAAGACAATGCTGTAGAGTCAGTAGGTGAAAAATCTTATAACACCTAATATTTTCCTCATACAATAAGTCACGTCATAATAAAAAAATTGACATTGATTTTTGCAAACAATTTGATAACCCTTTTTTCATATCGATGTATTGAACTTAAATTAAACCTACTTAAATTATACTTCCACATCGAGCGGCTAGGGAGTGGAATTCCCTGCCTGCGGACTTGTTCTCCGAACCCTACAACTTGGACCTTTTCAAGGCGAGAGTAAACAGGCATTATTTAGGTGTGCATGCTAAATTCAAATTCAAAATTCAAATTCAAAATAATCTTTATTTCATAGGTAAGCATTATTACACTTGAAATCGTCACAATATTAAACTCTACCGCTCATTCGTAAGGCAGATACCCTGAGAAGAATGAGCAAGAAACTCTAGGGGTTGCTCTTTGTAAATAACATTTACAATATTTTTTTTTTATTTGAAACATCAGAGATCGAGACTACCTCCATGAGCTAAACGGGTTACTACCACGGATTTTTGTCATCCAAGTACGCAGAAGTTGTATAATAACCTTTAGTATAAAGTTTTTGTTTCACTATAGTTTTAAACCTCGTGAAAGGCAAATTTTGTATATCAACCGGAATCTTGTTATAGAAGCGTATACATTGCCCCTTAAATGATTTTTTGACTTTGTGAAGACGACTATCAAGAAAAGCTAGTTTATTTCTATTCCTTGTATTAATGTTATGTCTGTCACTATTTTTCATAAATAAATTACTATTCCTTTTAACATAAATTACATTCTCATAAATGTACTGTGAGGCTAGTGTAAGAATGTTAATTTCCTTAAACTTATCTCTCAAAGATACTTTGGGGCCCAGATTGTAAATTGCCCTAACTGCACGTTTCTGCAGGACAAAGATTCTGTTGATATCGGCGGCATTACCCCAAAGCAAAATGCCGTATGTCATTAGACTGTGAAAGTAGCTGAAGTAAACCAATCTAGCGGTTTCGACGTCTGAAAGTTTCCTTATTTTTTTAATCGCGTACACTGCAGAGCCGAGCCGTTTTGATAACTTACTTATATGGGGACCCCATTGCAATTTAGCATCCATTGCAGCTACATCTTCGACCTCATCGTCACTTGCAATCAGGTGAGATGGGTCAAACGCGCACTTATTTTTTAAATAAAAAATAATAATAAAATTAAATTAAATTTGACAAACCAATCATCGTTGTCATGTTATGTTATGTAGCGATAACATTAAAGTCGTACGGGATCATCGGGACATCCCGTTATCGTATGAGGCAAAGTATACTTTTAATAATAACTTAATTTTATTATTTCCATAATTCCTGGTAACACAGATTGTATAGAAGTTGATAGTAACAATATAAATATAGTTTCACCATGCGCGGTCAAACATTAGGCACACAAACAAATTCGAACCTACTGTCTAATTACCGATGGTCGGAAAAAAGTGTTATAGATACATGTATAGATATACTACAAGAAGCGACCTAGAGTTGTTAAACCCACCAAATTTTAATAAATTACTGTTTAGAATTCCGGATTTCCGAGAGAAAGAAACTCATGTCTTTATTCCTTCTGTAATATATATATATATGTATTTATATTTTTTTAATAAAAATTATCTACATGTACATGTGTCTATGTATTGTGGAACATCTTTTTCCGACCATTGGTTTATGTATACGTGGTAATTACTAATATGAACTAAAATAAAATCAAGTACACTGAGCTTAGTACAATATGTTTTTTTTAAATGACATTGGTCTGCATATATGGATCTCATACATTAGTCCGATTTAGAATTAAATATACCTTCTTTAGTTACTCGTCTGACGTCCGATATTTAGAGCCTATTCACACTACTTATTTTAGACGCCGCAGACGCGTGTAGTCGCGCGTATAACGCACACACTCAACATAGCCCCGCACTAGGGAAACCCTGTATCGCGGGTGCCATGGACACACGCATAGACAACCACAAATTACACCCAAACTCACGAGAGAAATAAATGTAAATACAAATATTTCTCCCGGCCCGGGAATCGAACTTGAGACGTCTAATTTTAGGATTTTTATTTTAATTTAGTTTTGGAAATGAAACGACTAGATGAAATTCTAACAATAAACTCCAGTGGAGTATATAAGCTTCTTGCTTGCGATGCTTCTTGCTGCGCGCGTTTTAATCAATTCACTACAGCGCGTCTGCGGTATACGCGCAGATGACGCGTAAATGCGCGTTCGTGAAACGCCTATCGTCGGCGCACATAAAATACACCACGTGTATAGGCTCTTAAACGAATTTTGAAACCAGCTGACAACATTTAATTTCGTGGAGAAACACTCTAGGACACAAGTCTATGAAATTGGTAGCAAGCGTTTTCTAGTTTCTGTCCAACTTTTATTAAAGGTTGGTTCAAGTTTTTCTACAGTTGCATCTGGTGGCATGTGGTACAAGTTTGCAGTAGTTTGTTAGTAGATGTCCATTCGCTCTGACAATAATGATACCCAGGTTTTATAGCAGAGAATAAAAAGAAACATAAAATATTCCACGCCTTTGCTCTACGTATTCGGAGAGACATAAGTAGATATAATATTACAAATCTACTAGTGAATTATTAATAAGTTGATGTAACGGCGGACCAAATTTTTAAAAATATTTTCATTATACATTTTTCTTTATTTACACAGGGATAGTAGGACTGATGGTAACACCCGCTTAAAATGTTTCAAACGCTTAAAATACATCACTAGTGAATCAAAAAATCATAATTACTGTTCCATCACATTTATTATCACCTTCTATGAAATGATGTAAAATAATCGGCCATTTCCTCATGCTCCTACTGGGTGGTCCTCCTGGTAGGAGCACGAGGACTAGTATGTCCTTATGCTCCTACTGGTAGGACCAAAAGGATAAATATGTCCTCATGCTCCTGCTTATGTATTCTCACCTATATTTACATGTAATTGATATTGTAGTACTCGTTGTTTAATTACAATTAGCGAATTAAAAAAATACGAGTACTTTCAGACATAGAAACTGCGAGGCTGATTTCCTTTAGTTACTTCCATAGTTTATGACATAAAACATCATGTTTTTCATGGTTTTTCTATAATAGAAAACATTATTTTCACCTACTTAGATAATTAAAAAATGATCAATGCCATCTATTGGTATGACCGAAGTATTTCTTAATGACATTCCATATTCAAAAACTGCAAATTTCCTTTTTATAAGTGCACATTTGACCTCCATCCCACGTGACGGACAGTGACGAAGAGGTCGACGATGGAGAATGAACATCTTATTATATTTTATTTTTTTATGCCTGGGTATTCAATCTCGCCTTGAAAATGCCCAAGTTATAAATTTAAAATTCAAAAATCCCACAGAGTGTATGATCTTCAAACAGCTAAGCAGATGTATATCAAACATAGCATCCCGATTAAACCAAACTTCAATAAAAAAACCGCTACAGTTTGTCAGTTTGGGAGCTATGACGCCACATACAAATACACAAGACAAGGACTTCTAACTTATAATTCCTCTCTTTTTGCGTCGGGAACTAAAAAGTATGTTCTATATTCAATAAAAGACTGTGAAACGTTATTAACTGCGCCGTCCACATCGCTGTGAAAGTTTGCAAGCTCGAGTCCGATTCTTCGCACGATACATTTTATTAATTACTGGACACCAACTCCGAGATTTTGCAGTAGTCTACAATCTTTGATGTTTTTGACAGAGTTACATAAGTCGGTTTTGGATGTGCTAACAATTTGAGGAGATATTCTTTTTAACCGATTTCAACAAAGAATGAAGTTCTCAATTCAACTGCATTTTTACCCGACTGCGGAAGGGTTATGTTTTTCAAGTGTATGTATGACCATTTCTTTTTCACGCTGCATAGCTTGATGGATTTTGACATAATGAGGTGTCGTTAGATTCGTCGTGATTGTGGGAGTGTCATAGGCTATAAAAATAATGAGGGGGGAAATACATTTTTTTATCTTTCCAGCAAATTTTTTGTTTTTTTTTAATTATTTAATTTGTTTTTGTATGTATGTTACGCGGTTACTCCGACTTTGTGAACCGGTTTTGATGATTGTATATTTATTGGAAAGGGGGTGTCATACATTTTAGAGGATACATCCGGTTTATTGAATTTCGTCCCTTTTCCGTTAACCAATTCCAATAAAACTTGGAAAATAGATGTAATAATGATTAATACAAAGATCGAAATTAGAAAAAATTCCTTCGTTCCGGCCGGATTCGAAACGACGTCTTCTAGCAAACTAATTCAGCGTCTGGCACGGTTTGCTAGCAAACGTCGGTTCTAATCCGGCCGGATCGAAGGAATTTTTTCTTGAGTGTTCGATCTTTGTATTAATAATTATAACAAACTAGTGGAGTAATTTCCCAAAAAATAATTGAATATCAATTTAATACAAATTTAAATAGATGTAATTAAAATGAAAATAAAATGTTATGGTGACCTAGAGTTGATCTGATGATGGAAATGGCAGACAGATAAGAGGAATTCCTCAACAGCATAAAGCTACCTTGTGTTTGGGGTCATATGATTCGTTTTGACGAGGACTTCCTTATGCGTTGCAGTTATCGTTGAGGAGACTACGGTAACAACGCAACGATAGCGGATAAGATTAATAAAACATTTGAAGTCGGTTTTTTTCGTAATAAAGTTATAATACCAAAATATTTCATAGAATAATATTTTGCATAATAAACCAGCTTTAATATCTACTTGACACACAGAAAAAACTGCAGGCTGTGAGCCGTTTCAAGTGTTTAATTCAAATAATGAAGTTTTTATTGTCATAATAGGTCTATGACTACATGCACATCATTTGGTAGTTTTTTTATGTTTTATATTTTTTATGTGTTATATTTCAAGTAGTGAGACGAACAAGTCGTACCCCTGGTGGTAAACGACACGTCTGCCCATCACAGTTGCAATTCCACTCAGAGCTTTAAATCGCAAAGATCTAAGGGGCACTGCCACAGTGTCCCTTAGATCAGAACAGTAACAGTAACAAAACAGTAATGCTCACAGTACTACTTGACGTCAGAATTATATAAGGTGGCAGTAAAAAAAAACTTAACGTGCAAACTGTTACTTATTATTGTTATTTATTATTACTTCCCTGGATGGACACAAGAAGCTTTACTGCTGCTAGAATAGTTCCATGACAATAAAAACTTATCAGATCTCAGCCAACAAAATTTTTTCTGTATCTATTATTACTTTTATTTTCTAAGCCTAATTTTACTTATGTACACTGTATCTTCGCTAAATATTGCATAGTCAAGGACTTACACTGTAAGGTGTGCTTTTAGCGATTCTCTTGTACGACGGCGTTGTTTGCATGAAACTCGGGGAGATGTGCTCATTCGGAGATATTGGCACGTTGAAGGGCGATTGTTGTTCTTGGGAAAAAGTTTCTGTTATATATTTCTTATATTTTACGTTTACGGAATGTACCCGTAAATGTACCAAAGAGTCCATTAAAAGATTGGGATGAAGGGTCCATGATACTTAGCACCTTTAGCCTCGGATATGAATAACTTATTCACATGAACATATTATCTGCAGGTAATTGGTAAAGAACATTAAGATTGGTTACACGTGGCGTCTTTTAGCAGCGATGCAAACGCGAGGATTTATAGGCGATTGCATCGAAGCAATCGCGAGGATTTATAGGCGATTGCATCGATGCAATCGCGCGTTTGTATCGATGCAGTCACGCGCTTAAAATCGCGCGCGTGTGTAGGTAGACGAGTTGCGACTGCATCGTTACTGCATCGCGTTTGTATCGATGCAAGAGTCGCCATGAATAACCAACCGCTCTAAAGCGTGAAACACACAGGGTGCGGGTACGGGTCGGGCACGAGTCGGTTCGGGACCGCGACGGGTCTAATCCCGGGATGGCCGCACGCGCCCGCGCTCGGTGTATTGTAGTCCATTTCTGTTGTAACGGTAGATTTGCATCAAAATTATGTCGTTGTTCTAAGCACAAGAATTCCGAGTAGTTACTCACTGGATTGGTTAGCCAACTGCGCTTGTAAGGTCTTTATATTCTTTTGCTGTTCCTTCAACTGATAATGCTGCTTTTGGCACAGCTCCGTCACTCTCTTCAGCTCTATTCGAGCCGCGTAGAACTTTTTAGTCTGTCACATATTAAATTCTTAAAAAGTGTAACAACTTGGCGAATTGGATTGGAACAAAAAGAAAGCCTATCTGGGTCGATTCACTGGATGCAGACCAGTTGATTGCCTCAGGTATCAATAGAGCAACATCGTGGAAGTGGATTTGCGCGAAAATAATTATTGGCGATAAACTGCAAAGGACCGAAGATAGTGGAGTAACCTTATTTCGGAGTTTAACACATATTTTGGGTTGCTAAGCCTGCAGAATGCATTAGTCTTGCATTAAAATTGAACAAAATCCGGACTTTATTTAAAATAATAAGAGATTTCCATATTACATTCTTGCTTTGTAAACAATAGGACGATCGGTAACTTTCATTCGATAACTGTGTTCTGAAAAACTTTTGTAGCATTTGCCGGTCGAGAAGTTCGAGTAAATGTACGGGTGTGACGTCATTTTGGTTCCGTTTCGAATACGACAGTTTGACGTTCGATTCGGGTGTTGTGAATAAAAATGAAAAGAAATCGGTAGACAACTGAGTTATCGTAAGATTCTGAGTCGACCCCCTGGTCAATGTAGAAAGACTAACTTTTCTATTATTGTCTCGGGTTTGGGTATTTGTGATACCGTCGTTGTTTCCGATTACCATAATACAAGTGCTTTAGCTACTTTGGGATCAGACCACAGTATGTGATACGTCAGACTGCTGAGAACAGTTTTCCTCCAAGGCCCAAGTCTACCAAGTTGCCCTAATATGGATTGAGGACTTCACTTGAGGACGTCTTTCAAAATGTTGTACATACCCTCTATTTAAGGTTTTATCATGATTCACACATACACATACACATGTACATGATTCAAAAAAGCCCACCGGTATGAAACCTAGGAACTTTTGGCTAGGAGTGCTGCGATCGCCAACCTTTTCCTATTTCCAACAGCAAGACAAGTATTCAAATAATTTGTTAAATAAGTAGGTATAAGTTGCTAAGAAATCTACGAAGACGTTGTATTGTGGAAAAAAAATCGTATAAAAAACATTGGACAATTTTCGTTGAAAATCATGAGATTTGTCCGTTTCGTTAAGAAACGGTTTCGTTACGAAGAAATTGGCACAGAATCAACCTAGACTAGCTTTAGATCGTGTTTACATAACTGTAACTTTTTTATAAAAAGAAACCGAATTCAAAAGTTCCTGGAATTACACCTATTTAGGCGAAACCAGATTCATCTTTTCTTCAAATTTAAATGGGACCAATACTGAGGTACCCTCTTTCGAACAAAAAATAATTATTAAAATCGGCTTACAAAAACTAGAGTTCTCGCGTAACATGTATATAAAAAAAATACAGGCAAATTGAAAAACCTCCTCCTTTTTTAAGTATATTATTTTTTTAAATAGCGTCCTTACAGTATTGTTCTCCTAAATATACTGATATTATGTATGGTATGTAACAGGATGTAGATTTACGGATTTACTGCGAAACCACTAAACACTTAAGATGTAAGAAAATCTACATATCGCTGCTTCAGTAAAACAGTCAGATCTTTTACACTGACTGAAACTGAAAACGTGCTGCATTTTTAACCGACCCCAAAAAAGGAGGAGATATTCTCCGAAATTTGCAAACCGATTTCGACGATTCTTTTTTTTGTTCCACCATCACTACTACCACTACTGATAGTAATTCTATTCAGATTTGAAGAAAATATTCCACATCTAAAGGTGGCAAATTAAGGTACGAATCCGGTTCACTCACTTTCTGTGAACCGAATTTCACAATGAGGTCGGTTTTTTTGGAAAAGCTTAATAATTCGTATTCTTATTATAAATAGACACCGCGCTTTCCATTGGTCAAAATAATCACGTGATAATTGGACCGCAATACTATTCGTCTGTTTGCGTGCCGGATATACCTGTTTTTTGAAACCATCTTCCTACTGAATAAGGTTTTTGGGATAGACCGCTATTCGGTTGTAATTTTCCACAACATTTATTAAAAAATATGGATGCGTAAATGAAAATATACAAAATCGTATCCTTTGTTACACAAAAAATGTATTTTAAGTTATATTTATCTTACCGATTGCAGTAAATAAGAAAGCAATCTCCGTCTATGCTGCCTTTGAAATTGCAAAACTTCACAAGATTTCTTTATAATTTCCTCTGGTTCCGTAAAATAATCTTGTATTTCTGAATTCATCTATAAATATTTATTTTTATTAGATACGACGATACAATATAAAAAACAATTATAATTCATAAAAATCCAAAAAATCCCATACGTCTGGAACTAGCTTCATTATCGAACATGGTGCACGACAAACCAAACAAGTACTTTCCTTGACACCTGGAATGGAAAAATTAAATATCCTCCAGTTCACAATTTTATAAACAACCAACTTTACCAAAATTCAACACATACCATTGTCCAAGCAATTGTTGCAAAACATATGACCACATGACGTCAAATGTAAAGTTATGCCAGGTTCTAACTGCGCGAAACACTTATTACAGTGAATCCAATCCATTGTTTGTCATTAATAACAGTAATCTTCATCGTCTAATTAGCTTTTAACGCTAAATAATATTAGATATCATTTTTTATTTAATTTCCAAACAAAATAGCCATCCCGCTATTTTATATTTTTTTAATTAGGTATTTAACAAGGCCCACTTCTAAAAAGATTAGCAAACGAGGTATTTTATAGAGATAAGAATTCATTTTTATTTTATAAATAATTTATTTATCACGCAATCAGACTTTACAAATAAGTACAACTTAAAAGGAAATATTTTCTACTTTAATCTAAACATTTTTACCTTCGAAATGTTTATGATCTCATATTGTACATAATATTATCTATCCTATACGCCTACAGCTAAATATTATGTTTGTTATTTATATATTTTTGACCTGATCCGTATTTGCTTTTTCCAAGATTATATTTTTTCCCTTGCAACGGATTACCGCTATCTCATCATTGTAATTAAAAAATGAAAGTGTGATAACTCATACCAAACATAAAAAAGTGATGTCAATTTAAATCACCACTGTCTGTACGTTTTCTTAAAAAAAATTAAATGGCGGGTTTTTGTTGTTACAAAATTTGTACTAATTCATCTTTTAGTTTAAGTAGGGTACCCTTTCTCTCTTATGTATATGCTATCTTTATGAGCGACAGACTCTAATAGCCAAAACTAAATAAATAAATCTGGTTTCATTCCGCCTGCTCAAAAAAAGTCCTTGGCTCTCTACACAGATGGAAAATAAAATTGAAACCTGCTTTTCATATTTGCGCTTTTAAATTCGAGCATTTCGAACATTTGAATTTCGAGCGTGACGTTTAACCGAAATGTTTGACTACACAAGTCGACCAAAACGTTTAAAATACTAGATTGTTTAAAAATAAAACTAACACCCAAGACTGGCGGCGGTTGTTTTATAAGCAACTTCCGATTGTTTTTCTCCTATAGGAACGATAAGTATTATATATAAATATACATATATTGTATTGTTGCTCAGGAATATTTGCATAAAATTACGCTTAATATTGCTTCCATAAAGTTTTTGTACAATAACTTGAACGTTTATTCATTTTATTACAAAAATAGTACATAAACATACCTCATGTGGAGCATCACAGTAAGCATACTAAAGGTTTAATCTGGCGTACAATCATAAATTAGTATTTACTTTAAAAGTTTAATATCTTTTACCTTAGTAAAATCTCAATAACCACATAAAAATGTAATATAAGTTTTCTACTTATACATTTAGAATGCTTTTTTACAAAGTGGAGTGCATGCAAATTATTCCCGTTCCACAAAGCATTGGAGGGAAAAATAAATTAACCCTGATATATATACATGCTCGCTACATGGTATCTATAATTTAAAACGGCCAGTATATTGTTGTAGCGTCCATTACTCTACTGTGGCAGTAAGGAATATAAAAGAATGATCAGTTGTAGTGTCGCTTAGTCTATACGTGATATTGTCAGTGGTCGCCTGTGCCTGTGACCATGACTTTGAGACTGGTCGTCGTAATACTTGTTTTTGGCTGTGTTTCGTGCAAGAGTTCATGTATGTTTTTATTCATATATTTTTTTTTATTAACACGTCCTATGCATTGTTCATAGCGATGTAGGTTTTGTTTAAGTTTTCATATTTTTTTATAATTTGTTTCTTTTTTATAAATTGTATTATTTAAAAAAAAAATGGTGAATTAAAACACAGCTGCGCTAGAGACACAGAGTTGCTCTAAGACGCTACAGTACTGAAATCGTTCGGGATATCGTCTCTAGACGCCTGACAAATAAAATATTTAGTACTTTATGAATTTCTTACCTTAGAGTCTAGTTAAAAATTCTGACTTACATATTTTTATAAACACGTAAGTAAGTGTAGGTTACTTAAAACGTTTTTAACATGGTCAACTAGTTATATTCAGTAAATATCTAGCAATACAATAACAACACCCCTTACGAATTCTTTAACAAGAGTCTTTATAAAATATACTATAAGATTAAATTAATATCTCAGTCTTTGATATTGTCCTTAAACCGAATTATTTTGAACGTTGCTTCTAATTATTTTCCTACTGGTAATTTTGGGGTTAAAGTATTCCTCTCTTAATTTATAGTCCAGACAGTCAAATTATCTCCGTTTTTCTCTGGAGACTTCAGATTGTTTAAATCCGTTGAATACAATAACTATGCAAAGTTGGAATCAATATTCACTGAACGAATGATGGCGTTTTCGTGTAAGTTTCATTTTAAATCGAAAACAATGTTTATAAAAGAATATTTCTATTCTGTACATAAGAAGCTTCTCTCATATACCAAAAAAGGTTACTTTATGGTATTTGCCTAGGTGCCAAGGCTCACTGTCGTCCAAGCCATAATAAAAACACAATAAGTCATACATTATTTCAAGTATCCTTTTGACCTGCATACCTCGATTAAAACATTACTCTAAAGCACTTGGAGCCCGATTTGGGCACTATGCTGGCAATCCAAGAGTAAAAAACTGACGATAACATAACAAGTATGACTACCAAGCGGTTGGGTCATGTGTGTGTGCCTTTTCTCCTTGTTAAACACCGATTTCTTAATTGAACTTGTATGGAAGTGAAAATGTTGGCGAATTAAGCCATATTTTTTAGGACTGTCTGTCTATGATCAGATCAGTTCCTTGTTCTTCACATATTGACGTACCCTTCGCTCCTATTATCCAGTTGTCCTTGTGTATATGTTTGAATGGAGATTGGTTGTCCATACAAACATACATCCCTTATTTCACTCCTTTAAGATTTTTTTTTTGAAATTTGAATATTACGCGATTATAAACCGATTTAGATAATTATTTCTTGTTGGAAAGAAGATACCTCAGTGTTGGTTCCATTTAAATTTGAAAAAAATATTCTGCCTCTAAGGGTGGCAAACTAGGGGATGAATGAAATGAAAACCGGATTCATCCGGTTTCGCGCAGTTTCCGATAACCGATTTCAATAAAACTTGGCAAATAGATGTAATTCCACGTACTTTTGAGGACGGTTTTTTTTAACAAAAAAGTTATTGTTTAATCACTGCACTAGTTTGGTTGTCCCAGACACACTTTCGTGTGCTGTCACCTGACGGCACTAAAGATTTTTTGTTTGTGTACGACCTTTGTATTAATAATTATACAGACAGTAATTTTTCTTATCTATACATATATACTAATTTTTTTTTTGCTGTTCTGTAAGCATGTGTAAGTAATAACATGATATAGTTATCAATGTATGCATTTGCAGATAAAATATGTGTGCCACAACAGCATCTGAAGGCCTGCGAGGACATGCTCCAAGTGGAGACCAAGAGCAAAGCTGTACTTGAATGTGTTGCAGCTAGAGATAGGTAACGTTTCATAACTTTTATTATAACCACTTGCGTAACTATGCATCTATATTCTTAAATTGATCTATTTTCACTTCAACCTCAAAGTACGTTACGCGACTCAAGAATTTCGGACCATCCAAATTTATTTCTATAACAGCAATACGCCTAAAACCAGTATAATATCATTGCCTAAAACAGTTTGCCAAGAATGTATCTGTAAAAAAACCGGAGAACAAGGTAATATGTGTAAAGTAATTGTCAAAAGACGCAGACGTTTTTATTCACCAAATCTAATGATGTGTCAAATCATACCAAGGGGCTGGGTCGTTAACTGGTAGCAATGGTATTGGCAGGAGTATTTTTTTAGATATACCGGGCGTCACAAAATATGTTTTGTATATCTAAAAAAATACTTTAAATATTGTAGATAAGGTCTTTTGTTTCAGTGAGACATTATTTTATTTTTATAAATAAGTAAGAAATACTACATTCAACGGTTTTTTTTGCTTGTCTCATCTGGGAATGGAACCGATCAAATGGTATCATAAAAAATATCCATTTTTATGATACCGATCCAAAGGGTTAATTACAAGGATAAATCACTTATAAGTAACATAACATTTTAATTTAAAGGAACACCGTTAAATTATAAATCTTATTCATACAAGAAAGAAACTTTCATCAAACAAAATGTATTTAAAGTATTTGCGATGAATTTATCAAATTTTCAAAATGTGATCCGTCTTCTTGTATGCAAATTCTCAATCTTTCCATAAGTTCACTACCTATAGATCTTTTTATGATGGATATTCGAAATAATATACTTCAATTCCGTTTTCAATTCATCCACACTATCGAATAATAATAATAATAATAACATTTATTTTCTCTTCCACAAAATACATATTATAGCTATCAACAGTTTACACGTTAGATTTTGGTAAGGATAATTTTGTGGGAGACTGATGCCTAAACTAAGCAAAAAAAATGCCTGTGCGTCAGGCCATAGGTTTCCACCTCTCAATATCGACAATAAACATATTAGAATTCGTTTCCTTAAACTTAAATGTAAAATTTCATGATATTCCTATATGAACCGACACTTTATAGAAGTTATTGATAATTAAACAGTGTTGAAATATTCTATTGAACTAGTTAAAAAAATTTAAGACCTCGGTGATCCCAACTGTTGATATTGTAGACGCTAGATAAGGAGGTCTGTCGGTTTCAATTCCCTGTAGACAATTTGCTCTTGGTGTACCTATAAATATCACATAGAATTCCCTAGTGTCCGGTCTGTCTTCACAAATTTAGGAGGATTCGTCTGCTCACGTCAGAGGTTTAGGACTGCCCTCGTCGTCTTTTGTACAAAATCAAGTTGATCTAATATTGAATTACTGTCAATTTGGTAAGTCTTTCTTTGTGGCCAGTCAGTCCTCTGGTTATCCATGGAGGTTGTTGTATAGCGCATTACATATTTAACACTTTCAAAGTATATTATGCGCAGCTGGCATCAAACAAAGAAAACAATACAAGTACAAGTATGACTTGATACCTATAAAGTACCGAAGAACTTGCTCTGAATAAAACTACAGACAAAGAGAACAGGGTATACTGAGCTATATTTCACGGAATAATTCAGCAACTTTCTAACTTTACGAGTTCACGCCACTGAATAGAATTCTCTCTGCTCTAACGTTTGTTTTTCAATGTTCGAACTGAAAACGATGTGTACTATTTTCACGTTCTGCATTTATGTTGTTATTCCTACGTGCCTAGACTACGCACGAGAACCACACATACGAAGGCTACACAAAAATATAATTTTATTCGCTAAAATCTTCATGTTGAATATAATATGGAATATTCGCAGTGTTCACGATATTCGTTTTCCTCAACTGATAATTTGATTTTGCTCTATCTTGAGTCAACTTTTGTATGATTTGTTAACCGACTTCAAAAAAGGTTCTCCATTCGACTGTCTTTTTTGTGTATGTTACGCGGTTCCTCCGGCGTGTGTGAACCGATTTCGATAATTATTTTCTCGTTCAAACGGAAGTACCTACCTTATAGCGTCAAATTTAAAAAAGTATTACTTTTACACTCAGGATGGCAAATTAGGTGATGAATCCGGTTTATTGGATTCAACCCGCTTCAGATTAACCAATTTCAATAAACCTTAGCAAATAAAAAAGTTAAAATTATTGGAGAATTGAATTCTATTCACAGTTGTACTTTTAAAGAAAATTGTAATTTATTTCGGACGACAATCTACAATTATTTACAGCCTGACTGAAGCCTATACAGTATAGGCTCTCCAGTAGTTTGCTCCATCAACGACGATTTTGAGCTAGTCTCACTCTTTACTACCTGCAACAAGAAATCACTACCATATACCATCGTGTTATCTTGTAGATAACACGACTGTATATGGTAGTAGATACCGGTTTTACTGTAATTAGCGATGCCGCAGACGTCTGTCGCAACCGCAGATGATCCTCATATTCTTAAGTATCCGTTGCCGCATCCGACACTCGCATCAATCGATGCAATTATAGCGAGTACCGATCGTTTTACAGGTCACGACAAGATCGTCGGAAGCAGGATTCTACTCCCGTCCTTTGTCCGATTTCGTCAGAAACAATTACTGTCAGATAAGTAATATTCGACAAAATTAAAAGACGCATGATGTAAATGAATCTTCATGCTTGACATTATCTTATGATTTGGTCGGGTATTACTTATTTAACTGTAATTGTTTCCGACGGATGTCGGACAGAGAATAGGCCAACTGGAGGGTGATTCACGTAATCAAACCGTTACGATATCGTAGCGATTTAGTCGTTGAACTGCTTTTTCGTATTCACGTGGGACGTCAACGAGTCCAGGTTTAAAATCGTTCGATCCAAATGTAGTTAAAGCGTATTCTCGTATAAAAACCGAAGTTAAATCGACTCTAAACGACAAGTCATACGTATTCTGCTAAAATTTTGATAGTTCTTTCAATAGACTTTCGACGATTAAACATCAAATTTCACAATCCAAGATGTCGTTCATTAGCCGTTACGTTTCGATTCTACTCAGGTCAACGTTAGTTCAAGTGATACGTGAATACCCATTTTGGACAGGGCTTCGATCGAACGACTACGTAACTTCAACGATAGTTTGATAGCTTGAACTTACGTGAATCGCACTACTGGCCCTATCAAAGCGCTTGTCGAGTACTAGTCCTAATTAGCCAATAAGGGACCGAAAATTCGGCAGCGTGTAGAGCAGGCAAACGACCTGACTTATATGATTTCATTCAACTTTAAAACTTTAAGTAATGATAAATATCATAATATTTCTATACCTTCTATCTTCCGTCTCTGTTGTAATTAAATTATGTAAAATTATTATTTTTTATTTACATAAATGATAATTAAATGACTATCAAATCTACAATGATCTATATTTATTATGAAGAAAAAAAAATTCACACATCCGCATCAGCAGATTTCAACGATGAAATATTCGCATCAGCGTCCGCACGTCGTCATAACCCTTATAACCCACATCTGCGGCATCCTTAATTGTAATAATAATTTCCTATAATATATATTTCCATATTCATGAATAACTTACCTCATCAACATCGAATTGGTATAAAGCTCATAAAGTATGTTAATACGTTATATATTTTCCTTACTTGGCTGCCCGATTAGTTGGTACAAAATGGACCGTCAATTAAGTCCGCTTCTATGATCAAGGAAATGCACACCCTTAGTGTAATAAGGGCCCATCTGCAAAATTACAACTTTGTTCAGAAGCTTAATAGTTTTACGAAAGAAATTAATCGGTAACTTTTATGCTTAAATTTAAGTTATAAAATTTCACATTGGCACTGTTAATACAATAGTACATTAACTCAAAAAATGTAAAATTTCAGGATCGATAGCAAACTAATTACTTACTTCACGTGAATTTATTAAAATTTATATATAAGTTAAAGTTTGTTACAGACACCTAAACAATTTGCTACTTGCCAAATATATTTAAAAATAAAAGGGGAAAAATAGTTTTATATTTTTGAATAAGGACCTGTTTTGTTTTGTCTAGAAATTTCTTATAAAAAATTTGTCTCATTAGGAATTAAGTAGGTAGGTATCTTTTTTGATTGTTCATTACAATATTCTAACGACGATTTTATTGACATTGAAATTTTACGTCCATCAATAATATAATCTTGAATTTCACATATTTTGAGTTACAACTTCATTGTAATAGCAGTGTAATATACTAACTTGATTCATGTAGATCGTGTTATAATTATGATTTTCATGTGATAAAAGCACTTTGGCTTTATTTTAAACAAGGATACGAAGCAAAAATTCATTAAGCGACGCAACCAAGATATCAAATAACCTAATAAGTAATTATTGAAAATGTACCTACTAATTATAGCCATATCTCATTTCATAATCTTTGTATAGTTTCTAGAATGAAGGCAATATAAAGATGTAATATTTCGTACAAACTTCTTAAACCAGAATGGAGTGCCTGAGCTACGTGCAGCAGCGCCAAGCGGATTTCGTACCAGTAGACCCTGAAGATATGTATGTGGCGTCCAAGATTCCCAACCAGGACTTCGTTGTCTTCCAGGAGTACAGGACTGATGAAGAACCTGATGGTATGTTTTTTTATGATACCAAGTGACGGGACGAACAAGTCGTGCGCCTGATGGGAGGCGACACGCCTGTCCATAGCAGTTGCAGTGCCAGTCACAGCTTCGCAAAGATCTGAGGGGCACTGCCACCTCGCTCGTCACCCTGACACATAAGTCGACAAGTCCCATGTCTCTGCTCATTTAGGTATGTTCGCAAATACAATGCAAATTTTTATACTTGATGCCCTACCTGTTCAGAAGGCACGTTTAGAACTTTAAATTATCTAAGTATGGAAGCAGAAAAATGTAGAGATCAATATTAGGCAAATAACAACTAAATAAAATCGTATTCAAATAGGATTGAACCCCAATTGAAATAGTACGGACGTGGTAATGATATCGTAATAGTGTTGACAATTGGGATTTGAATTTCCGCGAACCCTCTCAAAGTCAATCAAAAAAGGGTTTATTTCCCAGCAATTTGCGAACGAACGGAATTCCGTGTCGATAATTGTGAAGACTCTCTCGATAACATGTGTATTATACGTTTAAGAACGTCATCCGTTAAAAATGCTATAAGACACACGTTTTATAATGATACGTATACGTATAAGGTTATAATAATTGTGGTTAGTTAACAATGGGGTTCATCTTTTAATTATATCATTGTTTGAATTATTGCGGCCGTACTAAGCGTATGTCGGAAACAGAATACACGATCGGTATGGACGTGGTATTGATTGATATTGGATGAATGTTGACAATTGAGGTGAACCTCACCGACACTTACACATGTATATGAATTAATGCAGCCTTACTAAACGTGCATTCTACATAAAACACATTTGCTAATGATGTTGTAATAATAGTTGTTAATTGCTGTTGACAGTTGACAAGTGGGATTTATCTTTTATTTGGATTACTAAGGCCATACTAAGCGTGCATATTCTAAATAACGTACACGTTTAGTATGGAAGCGGTAATTATACATGTTAATAACTAGGTTTGAACCGTTACTATTTATTAACGCACAATTTTACGCAAATGTAAAGTCAGACCTCAATATAAAATACCCTCGTAATATATAAACATCCCATCACACAATAACATATAACGTAGTTTTCATCTTTACATTACCGGTCTTAGTAATCAATTTCCATATTAATACATATTTCCATATTAATTAACGCCTTTCGCGGGCCGTAACACAATTTTGATCTTGTCATGTCTTCACGTTGCTACCTCAGTGGTAGGTACACGTACTTTTATATTACACGTTTCGTTATACGCATTCAAAGACACAAAACTCTTTCCAAAATTCAAAAATACTCCCACTCGTACACAGACATTGACATTTTACAGATATGACTTTGTTTGCTGCATTACGCAATTCTAAAGTTTGAATGGGAGAAAGTTTATAACAATGGACGTGTCTGTTGGCTATGAATTGATCAATGCAAAGTTCCACACGTGTGGAAATGTTTGCAGAGTAAATTGGTTAGCCATGTTTGTATTCAATTACGTCACGGCATCGAAACCCTACTTCCACCATCTAGATGCGAGATTGAAAGTTTCATGAAAATACAGTACCTCTACGAAGTCTATAAATGACACGAAAAATGTTGTGTAGGTACCTGCTTATAGAAACCGAATTAATTGGAAGCGGTTATTATACAAGCGCATCTCATATGTAACAAAGGATATTCATAATAGAAGTTAAGCTCCTAGTGAAAGAATTCGTCCAAAGAAGTACTGTCATCTTACCAATTACAAATGGCTTGCAGTGATATTTTGAAGGTTACGTTTGCTGGTGAAATTATAAGCACATGAGACTTGTCAACTTGTTTCAGGGTGACGGCCGCAGTGGCTCAGATCAGGGTGACGGCCGCAGTGGCTCAGATCAGGGGGTCTATCTTGATCTCCATCCAACATCCGTCCGAAACAATTACTGTCAAATATGTAATATTCGACAAAATTATAAGACAAGTATCAAGTATGTAGCTTCGTTCGCGTCACGCGTCTTTTTATTTGGTCAAGTATTGCTTATTTGGCAGTAATTGTTTCGGACGGATGTCGGGCGGAGATCGAGAGTAGACCCCTAGATCAGATCTAATAAGTCTTTGGGGTTTAAAGCTCTTAGCGGCACTATAGTTGTTGATGGATAGGCGTGTACGTCGCTCGCCACAAGGTGTAAAACTTGTTCGTCTCGTTACTTGATATGTTAAAATACCGTAAAGAATTGTGAATCTCGGGAATGAGGCTATTCATACCGTACGAGTATCTGTGCACGGCTTTAGTAATACATAGAAGTACAAATATATTTTACTTGAATTGCATTGAACAAAATCTTGCTTTACTCCAAGCAAGCTCTGGTATAGGTAACTAACCAGACCATAGGTAACTAACTACGGAAACTGCCAAGTTCGAATGCTAGCATTCTTCTTTTTATTTAAGAGCTGGGTCCTGTCGATATAAGTAATCGCTAACCATCTCTGTTCAGCCTCTTTGTGTTCTTTATACAACACATTACCTTTTTCCCTTTTTGATTAAAATAACTTCGTCTAGGTGTCCGCCTTCCCGTCTTTCCTTTGATCTTCCTTCCTATATTAATTCAAAGAAAACTGTCTTGCCGTATCAGACGCCCACACATCTTTTATGTGCTAGTATTAGGGTAGCATAACAAATAATGAATTCGATAAACACATTCGGATTTGTGATACATTCATCGTTTATTCATTGCTGTATCGTTTGAATATCAAAGCCTTGTGTATTGGAAACCGATATGAGCAAGGAATTTGCGGAAACCAATATTGTGTGAGCATTCGTACGAGAAAAATTGAAGAATAAGCTATTCATATGTATTGTACAGAATGGGGAAATTTTGATAGTAATACCCCTAGTCTGAAAGGCAATTTTTAGCGCTGCATAAAAGCAAACCTAAAATCTCCACCTAGATTTTACTCGAAGCAAAGTACGGGCTAAGTAGTCCTAAAGTATTGTCGACGTGTAAAAGTAATCTTTTACCAAATAAAATGCTGCAAAGAGTTGCTTGTCATTACTAGTAGAGCTCTTTGTGAAAGAGTTTGTCCAGAGAAGTACTACCAGCTAACCTATTTCTGCCGCCAAGCATTAAAGTGATCATTCCTGCATTCCAATTTTGAAGGATAATGGTGCTGGTGAACTTACAGGCACATTGAACTTGTCAACTTATGTCTTAGAGTGACAAGCGCAGTGGCAGGGCCCCTCAGATCTTTGCGATTTAACGTTCTAAGTGGCTCTGTAAGGCTCAATCCACACTGGCGCAGAGTCGAAGCGTCGCGTCGCGTCCTGTTTTTCCCGACAGAAAAATGGAGCATTGAAATACCTCCCTATTGTTGTATAAGTAGATATTGTTACTTTTTACTAACTGTGAAATTTTATTTTCAGCTGAATTTCGATACGAAGCTGTGATAGTAGTCCACAAAGACTTGAATATCAGTAACTTGGACCAACTGCAAGGATTGAAGTCTTGCCACACCGGAGTGAATAGAAACGTCGGATATAAAGTAAGGATGTGTTTTACTTTTTTAAATATTTGATTTCCTTACGTTTACATGCCTAGAGATGAACAATGTGTGTGATATAAGTATGATGTTTTTGAATCCGTCTACGATTATCTCTTGAATTTTCATACAACTATCAAAATCTATCAAAAAAAACCGACCTCAAAAGTTCGTGAAATTATATCTATTTGCCAAATTTTACTGAAATCGGTTACCGCAAAGTGCGCGAAAACTGATTCATCCCCTAGCTGGCCACCTTTAGAGGTGGAATATTATCTTCAAATGAAATGGAAACAAGAATAATCATCAAAATCAGTTCATAAATTATGATGTAACAAGAAAATTTAGTTCTTAGGTTTTCGCGATTGTTACACACAGGAAACGAAACTATTTTTCCGGATTTAAGTCGCGTATATTTGTTTTTTGGTTGAAGTCAACAGGTCCCATGGTCACGACCATGGGACCTGTAAAGGGCCCGAAACGTCGGTTTGTTTGATAAAACAAATATACGCGATTTAAATCCGGAAATTTAGATTAAGGCTAGATGTTAATTCTTTGCTCTTTTACTCATGGTACAGTTGTCTGGCACTTTATTATACATTATAATACCTTGATTCTTTTCCAATGGTTATTTACACTGTAATTTTTATTAGACAATAAGTTGAAATATACAGGTAAGGTACAATAAAAGCTTAAATACCAGAAACTAAAACAAGGATAAAAATGATGTCCCCGCGGCAAGGTGCCCAGGATGCTTGCAGCGTTCCCCCTTTATATAGTAATGCCTTGGGCATGGTAGCCGGACCTTGAGTTTCCCAGAGTCTACTAATTTTTTGGATAAAATTTAGTACATATGAAGGGCACCGGGAACCCATGGGCCAAAGGCTGTAAATAGGTAGTCGAAGCCAAGGTCCTAGTACTTATTACTTTGATTGGATATTGATTTTATACGTAGTGTATATAAAGTGTGAATTTATTTCACGTCATCAAGCAAATATGATAAATTAATCTCTCTCGAACGATGTTTTTATGAATGTAAAAGATTTTCGAAAAAAGGTATTGGTCTATAGAGGATTATTTGCATTGAGTCGCATATAATAAACCATAAACCCCTTATACGCAGTTGTCTGGCTTTCCGAATCCGGTTTTTTGTTGTTTACTTTGTGACAAACATTTAAAAGCTCAAACAGCGTAATTTTAAAAGTCGGAACTTTTAACAGCAATCTCTCTATCTGTTACGGAGTTTCCCAGTATTTAATGAATTTACTTCCAAGAACTGCATTTTAAAAATCGATGTTCTTGTTTTTCAGTCTTTATTTAACTAGGGAATTTGTTGTATTTTCACCTAAATTTAGAAGGTACTTAAGTTCCAATCCCTAAATTAATCAGAGGCTTACATTGGCACTGGTGGAATAAAAATGTTGTTTATTGGAATTGTAAATTCACACGATCTGTTTGGAATATATTTACATACATTCACCCGCTGACAAACGTGTGTTTTTTTATGATACCAAGTGGTGAGACGAACAAGTCATGAACCTGGTGTTAAGCGACACTCTGTCCATAACAGTTGCAATGCCACACAGAGCTTTAAATCGCAAGGATCTGAAGGACGCTGCCATTGCGCCTGTCACCTGGAGACTAGTCCAATGTGTCTGTAATTTGACCAGCACCCTTACCGTTTATAACCGGAACGCAGTAATGCTCACCTTACTGCTTGGCAGCAGAAATAGGTAAGGTGACAGTATTTACCTGGACGAACACTTTCACAAGGTGCTCTACTAATACTGCTGTGCATGTCGCAAATCCGTAGTTGAGTACTATATATGCCGACTTGGTACTTGGTACTTGGTGCAACGGGCTGGTTTCCGCAACTCGACGACAAAGCGCCTATACAACTGACCTGTGTGTATTGTATATATGTGTGTGACCTCTGTATATTCCAAAAATATTCTGTATTTATTGTAATAAAGATAATATCACTAACGATGAGGGGCTGTTCCATTCCGTGGTGTGGAAAAATCAGCAAACAACTAATTACAAAACAAAATGAATCACATTTCATCGGTAATTAAATATTAAATATATAATTTTTCAATTTTCGTAATTTTAGCAAAGCTGTAGTTAAAGTGGACGATTTGAAGTGAAACAAATGACGAATTCGGGTTGGCCCACCGGCGCGTAATTTTCACTGTAATGATTTGGCAGAATAGTTTTCAAACAAATTAAATGACATTTTGTCTCTATTTCTGGTTATATACTCTATGACACAAGATCAAGAGTCTAGGACTAAAAGTCCTTGAATGTTTGAATATAATTTAAAAAAATCAGTAAAACCACAGTTGGTAAGCTTGAATAATGCAAGTGCGGTCATGCAAATTTGAAAATATATTTGCAAGACCGCACTCGCAAAATTGTATAAATCTATACGTGTCTCTTCACGTCTAACATTAATTCAAACGAGACTACGTGACAACATTATTCTGATATAATGTAGGTAGGTATTGGATTCACCGAATACTGTGAACTTGATACACCTGTGTCAGTTGTTAAGAGGAGTGGTTTAGGTACATTTATAAGAAATCACTAGAACGTTACGTGATATTTAGTCATTATGTATACAGGGTTATTTGTAAAATTCTGGCAACCTCGCCGGATATATAATATTACAAACCTCACAACTTTGGTTACATGACTTTTTATAAAACATAATGCCACGCAGAGGTCCTCCCGAGCAGGTAAAAATATTTGTGTGGCCAACATTTTGGCATTATATAAATACAATAAAAAATATATTATAAAAAATATAAAGCCTATTGACTGACAAGTTGTGCGCCTGGTAGTAAGCGACACGCCTGTCCATAACAATCGCAGTGCCACTCGAAGCTTCAAATCGCAAAGCTCTGACGGGTAAGCCAGCCGGCCTCATGTATTTTATATTCGCTTTCACGCTATTTTTTAAATTTGTTGTTCTGTTTTGTAAAACCGGGACACTTTTAAGTATTTTGGGGAAAGCGGGACACGAAGCCTTAAAGTGGGACTGTCCCGCTCAAAGCGACGTATGGTCACGTTAAGTATCGCCCAATAGGTACTTTTGTAGTATTGGTCTATTAAATTATTGTTAGTTCTACATGTATTTCGATCAGATGCGCTAAGTCTGTTGCGTCTTTGAAAGCTCTACGCAAAGGTCTTACACTCTAATTATTATTATTTTCTCTTACTCTTACCTGTTTTAGATTTTCCGTGTTGTTATTATTATGTTCTGTATCCTCTAATCTTACTTTCATTTTGTGTAAGCATGTTTTTTTTTTATTAATTTTATTTATTTAAGTATTTTATTTATTTATTACTATTATTTTGGATATCTATTCTCTTGTTTTTAAATTGTCTATGTGCAATATGTGTTTTAAACACGTATTATGTTGCGCCCTCAATTGATTATTATCTCACGGTTTTTCCTGTATCCGAAGATCGCCTGAAAGAGATTGCTATATAGCAATAAGGCCGCCTGTTGTACCTGCCTTTTTATTTTTTGTATTATTTTGTATTTGTCCCAGTGTGCAAGAAAGAATATTTGTATTGTATTGTGTTGTATTTTGCATTCAAAATGAATAAACGTACTTTGTACTTAAAAATCTTTTAAAGAATCCATTAAGCTTAACCTTATTTGTACATGTTTCTTAAAAGCGAAGAATTCCATATTTGTCCATCGTATTTTTATAATACAAGCTTATACGGCAACAAGGTTTGCTTGGAAATATATTTAAAAACTTGTTATTTGTTCACCACGAGCTCTCAACCTTTTTTTAAAGCAGTTTTTATGCAACACGAATGAAGTATATCCTAGTCTAGATAAATATCAAGCAATTGTCTTGCTGCAAGTAGATTGTTTATGTCCATGGTGCCATTGTAAATATACAATTTACATAGATAAGTATATTAATCCGTTCATGGGCAGTACTCAGACAGGTTTATACTGATCCAATGTAAAATGTACATTGTAAATCATTGAATTTTGTCAGTACGTTGTTGATACTTCTTTATGGAAAAGCAGTAAGCGGCAACTACACAGAAAATACTTGAAAATCCCACTGTAAAAATCCCCTAGGTTTTTTATCCATACAAGGAAATCAAGACAGTGGTCACTATTATTTTTATATTGGTTTTTTTTTCTTTTTGGAAATACTCAAAAGGTTTCTTATCAGCCGCCTTTCGTATGAACTTACGTTTAGTACGTATGATGAAAGAATTCGTCCAGAGAAGTACTGCTTTCCTTAACCATGCCTGCCGCCAATGTGAGCATTATTGCATTCCGGTTTTGAAGGGTAATCGTGCTAATGAAATTACAGGCACATGGGTGTTATCAATCTTCTATCAATGATCTTTGCGATTTAAAGCTCTGAGTGGCGCTGCAACTGCTATGAACAGGCGTGTCGCTTACCACCAGGTGCATGAATAGTTATCGTCCAGGTATCATAAAAATAAAACTCTCGATATGTATAATTAATAAACCTAACACCTGTTCACTACCTACCATTCACTATTACTAATCAAATCATTTTAATTGCTTATTTTTCTTTACAGATCCCATTAACAATGTTAATGAAACGATCAGTCTTCCCCAAAATGAATGATCATACTATTTCACCTAAAGAGAATGAGCTCAAGGCTCTATCAACATTCTTCAAGAAGTCTTGCATTGTTGGGAACTGGTCCCCGGATCCCAAAACTAATTCCGCTTGGAGTAAGTATTTCTGTAGGCCATTTTTCATTTGTCTAGACGGTTGCGTCTTTAAACCGTAGCAGAAAAAACAACCAACAAAACCGGCAAACTGCCTCCGTGGCCTAATGGTTACCATGCCGGACTGCCACGCAGAGGTCCCAGGTTCGATTCCCGGGCCGGGAGAAATAGTTGTATGGCCCACAATTATTTCTCTCGTGAGTTTGGATGTAATTTGTGGTTGTCTATGTGTGTGTCCATGGCACCCGCGACACAGGGTTTCCCTAGTGCGGGGCTATGTTGAGTGTGTGCGTTATTTATTTATTATTATTTAATCTCTTGGATTATTGACACGTCGTCGTTACAATGAATGAACGTCTAAAGATTTCAAGTCAAGTAACCAATACATAATAAGTCGCATTAGTTATTACCTCTTCCTTATAATTCCGCCATAATGTACCTTTGCATATAAATCGAAAGCAAAAGTTCCCCGATTTGTTAATATAGGTGCAATAGGGCGGTGTACGGGACATAGAAATAATTAATCTTAATTTGACTATGAATTTTTAAGAAATAATTTGACTACAATAAATAATGTAGAAAAATAATAAAAATGTAACATAAAATTATAAATGTAAATAAATAACGTCTAAGGTTTTCGCGATTGCTACGCATTGGACATTTATTCAGATCTAGTATAAATTGTTTCTATTTCCTTTTAATTAATGAACTTCATTTATTCTTCTAATCGTGTCGGTGGCATACATTATAATGCTTGCTATCATGGTGAAAGGATTTCCCACTCTGCATTAAGTACTAGCGCTTTTTTACTAATTTAAAATCTAATTAAAAATAACTTTTGTAACTGTAGTTCAAAATAGGATGGTATGCATTCGTCGATATGCGTGTTCCCATACAGGTAGTATTCCTTACTTTGCTATATTATTATGTGATGGTTTCTCATATTATCATAAGTCTTATTTTATTTAATAAATTTTAAATTTTCAGTATATCGTAATATTTTTTGTTACAAAAAACGAAAGCAAACCTTATACCGCTGCAATGTGGTCGCTTCTTTTTTAGAAAACTAAGTAAACAACTCGAATTCGTCGTCGTTTAGCTATTGACCGCTAGACGGCAGCACATTGATTGAAATTTCAATATGAAATTAGAATGTCGTAACTTGCAATAATAAATATTCAACGATATGCCAACGGAGTAAAGTTGAATTTATATTAATAGTCCAGAATTTGTTATTTCTCTAAATTAGAAACTACGACCAATCATCATCAAGATTTCGTAGTGTTTCAAATTATGAATAAGTGAGTTTTGGGGACAGCGGTTCTTTCAGTGCAGTAGCGAAGCCGTCGTAAAGACTGCGTATGCTATTGCGAAGCAGTCGCCGTTAACTTTACGTCTTCATTTTGATTCATCTTCGACCATGCGATGCAGTCGTACAGCGGCTCGGAAGACTACATTTCACATTAACTTTTCATCGCCAACAAATTACCCATCTGCTCTACATACGTAACAAAAAAAAAATATTTTATAATTGTTTTCTGAAAGTGTCTGGGCAACAAATTTAGAAATAAGTCGGGATCAGAGCCGCCGCTTCTAATTAATCAGTTATGCATTAAACTTCCAGCTTCACTGGAACCCGGGTATAATGCCATATTACAAATAAACTGCGTTACAAGAATCTAAGAGCGATTTATGGCACTAGTTAAAGTTGAGTTTACGTGAGATATAAACAAACCGTTACATCGGCTACTTTCTTTTAAAAATTGTGATGAAAAAGAATGTCGTAATTTAGTAATGGAGCCAAAAATCAACTTATAGTTAAGGTTACAACGTAGTTAAGTTATATATTTAAGTTCTACATTAATTAAAATACTTTGAATATTTTATAGAATAGTGATCGAAAAACTGATTTTCCGTGAGATCAAAATACGTCAGGTGATATGGAAGTGAAATGCGCACTTATTTTTTGATAAAAAAAAAGCGTCTATTTCGGGTCTCACTTCACCTTAATGAAGGTCTTTGGCTTAAAATTGTATTGTAATAGTCTTAAGACTATTACAATACAATTTTTACAATTTTCCTTGTGAAAGAGTTCCTAGACAAAGAGGTAAGTTCGTCCAGGGAAGGCAGTACTTTCCTAAACGAACTTACCTATTTCTGCCGCCAAGCAGTAATGTGAACATTACTGTGTTCCGATGTTGAAGGATAAAGGTGATCGCGTAATTGCAAGCACATGGGATTTGTCAATTTATGACTCAGGGCGAAGTGGTAATGCCCGTCAGATCTTTGGGATTTAAAGCGCCGACCGGCACTGCAACTGCTATAGACGGGCGTGTCGCTTAGCACCAGGCGCACGACTTGTTCGTCCCGCCACTTGATATCATAAAAAAATCTGCTCCTGCGTACGAATTACAGAATAATTAAATTAAAATAAGGCCATTTGCACACTTTGCTTTTTCGTTTCCAGAATCGCAGTACAATCAACTATGTGCTCTCTGCGAGGACCCACAAAAATGCGACTACCCAGATAACTATAGCGGTTACGAAGGAGCTCTGCGTTGTTTGGCTCATAATGGAGGCGAAGTGGCATTCACTAAAGTCATCTATGTTAGAAAATTCTTTGGAGTAAGTGCTACTTTTAGTACTTACTTTATATCCTTGGATTTGCCGTTGTCAGATAAAAATCCAAGTTTATATTCTTTATTCTCCGATAACGAGAATTCTGCACTTATATAACATTCAAATATAACTTATCACTAGGGTCGGCGGACTAAAGGACATAGGTCAAAAAGTACTTCATTTTTTTATATATTATTATAAGTATATTTTTTTTGTGTTGTTCATAATGTTTAATATGTTAATGATAAATTTGAAAAAGACGTCACTAGAGTTTTAAGTTACAAATTAATGAAGTATCGTCGTTTTAGCTTCGTATCGGATCGGAGGCTACCACGAAACGCGAAACGTTTACGAAGATGGTGGTTTGACATAACATCGGGGATAGAGCAATTACGCGTAACTAGCTTTTGATTATGAGTCTCCATTCCCGAAATTTAGTGGCCATATCAAATCCGCGTAAATGTTGTGGCAACCAAATAAGCGTGATTTATTGGAATTTATTGTTAGACGTCGACAACATATATCAAAAAAATGAAAGTAGTAGCCATTGATAACAAAGTAATAACGTTAAATCCCTCTACTGTGAAATTTGGTTTGGAGCAGATACGGTCACTTTACCAATACTACATAAGCGGCTTCGCGCTATCCCCGACGATAAGTACGTACGCCGAAACGTCAAATTACAGCTTTCCTATCGAATTTTGAAATTACTTTTGCATTCACAGTTTGTGTGATTTTAGAGTTTTCAAGATGCCGATGCTAGTAATCTGCATTTTAGGTATCGTTGATTCAATAAAATAAATATAACAACATGAAACTGTTATCTAAACGAGTTTATGATGTACTATAAACGTATAAGGTTCCGAAGCGGAAGTAATCTTTAATGATAACAATAATAATGGCTATTCCAATTGCGGTCGAACGTCTATCTGGGATTATGACCACAATATTTGGCTCTCTCCCTTTCCTTCTTAAATTGTGGAATTAATTTCGACCGAGAGTATTTCGATGCTTGCGTAGAAATATGTACACGATACGTATAGTATATACGGATTTACCTAAGCTCTCATAATGATTGAATTCGGCTACGATTTCGTCAACGGTCCTGTTTTTCTGTAACTTTTAAATTAAGAAAAGTGACAAGTTATGATCGTAGGTACATAAAATGCCCATGAATGCTTCTATGCGCAAGAACAAAAACTGAACAATCTTCGGAGCCGTCGTAAAAACAATGAATCATCTTCTCTACAAAGACGGAGCTAATCAACTTGCGAACAATACCCGAAGGGTCAAAACAAAGGACCTTTAATCTCAACTAATGAGATGTTTGACATTTGCCTTTTATTACAGGACATAAGATGATTTTGTAATATAAACACAAATACGTAGGATCATTATTAATACAAAAAAAAAATCCGGCTGGACTCTTACTTAAAAGAGAACCAAGAAATTCGCAAGGTCTGCTAGTTCATTCCGTTTCTCAGTTGGGAGAACGTTAGTCACGGCATGGCATTATAATAAACTAGTAGATTAATTTTACAAAAATAATTGAATTGTGGTAGTAAAATATCGTGATATTTAATAAACAATATAGAGGAGTTAACGGTCAATTTATGATGGCGATAATCTTATATACTTATAAAGCTATATTGTAGGTATAGTTTCATTACTAAGAACAGGTCTGACGCAGTTACCTATCAGTGGTCTGAAATGACATTTTCCTGAAATAACGTTTAACTCGAAAGTAATTTTGGGAGGAAAATGTTTTTTTCTTTTAAACCTAACTTAACCTAACCGAACCGAACCTAATCGTGTCTTTCCGATAAACATTCAACATATCCTGAAAGAACAACTGTTTCGTTATAATTCGGTTTTCGGTGTAATGAAAATTCGAACAAACGTTATTTCGGACAAAAAAATTTTCGACTTTGTGAGAAGTTACCGTCTGACGCTGGTATTTGCCGTCATATAGGTCATCTCAAAAGAAACGCTGGTCCAATGTGACTTGACGGCTTCATGGTCCGAGAATTTTATAAACCATATATCCTATATGAAGGTGTTAAATCTATGTTTCCTTCTTTTAAAACAAATGATAAATGCCAAATTGGAAATTTTGAAACAACAATATTGTTTTAAGAATAAATAAAATATCACACCGAGTTCTTAGGTTTTCGCTACTGTTAAACGCTAGAAATGAAACTATTCTGGTCTAAAATTACGTATATCACTTTTTTAAACAAACCGACGGTGTTTCGGTTTCTTTTTCGGGTGTCATGTTCAGTTTTAAGGCTAATTTTAGGCGGATTTTAGAACCGGAAATAATAGTTTTATTTCGAATAAAATGTCATAATTACTATATGATTATTTTACACAGCATTATACTTTACTTATTTAACTATATACTTGCCTGAAATCACATGAGCCGATTAATCTCTTTCTGTGTTATCCGGAATATAAGAGAGGGTGGCAGACGCTACTAATGATATATTCTAGAATTAATTAGAAAATATTTTGACATGATTTCAATAATGTACTTTGCTTATTTTAACAGTATAAGATGTGTTACGGGCTTAATTCATTCGACATTTTTTGCATATCAAAACTTTACTGTTTTCCAAAAATTATCACCTAGTTCAGGGATGGAAGTATAGCGCCACCTGACACTGTTGTCCATCCATGCCATAATTACGGATCGCGTTTCGATGCTCTGAAGGCGATATTCGAACAAAATTTAACAGGTTGACGTGCAGTCGACTGTACAATAAATTATTACTATAATTTCTAAACTACTAATGGTACTAAAAGTGTGATCATGATTATTAATCTTTATAATTCCAATTAGATCATTTGCACAAATTATACATTTTGGTTCAATTATTGTCTAAGGATGTGTGTTGTTCCACCCTAAAAAATCTAATACAACAGTCTTTATCGTTAACGTAACCATGAATTGTCGTTTCAGCTCCCGGTAGGAACCACACCAGCTAGTCAGTCTTCAGAGAATCCTGACGATTTTAGCTATCTTTGCGTAGATGGGTCTAAACGAGCAATCAGAGAGAAAGCTTGTTCCTGGGCGGCCAGGCCTTGGCAGGGACTTATGGGACACAACGACGTCTTAGCCAAGCTTACGCCCTTGAAGGAAAAGCTCAAACAGTTGGCAGAGAGCGGTATACTTTTTAAACTCTCAAATCAAATTTTGAATATCCTTCGCCATCATATAGTTTTTGACATCAACTTTATTTGGCAGTATTTCATGTAATTACGTCACTTTTCAGGAGCCGCACTCAAACCGCAGCCAGAATGGTTTGTTAAGGTCCTTGGTCTATCTGACAAGATTCACTATGTAGCTGATAATATCCCAATCAAACCTGCCGACTATTTGATGAAAGCTAACTACACCGATGTCATTGAAAGAGGTCATGGTCCACCAGAACCAGTTGTCAGGTAAGTTAACACAGTTCAAGGTATAGAGAAACTGGAAATGCATTAAATTCATATTATTTTTAACCAAAACTTAGTTTATGAACAAGTGCTATCGTCCTCAAAAACTACGTCAGTTCATGGCGAACAATTTACATTTGTATGTATAAAATCTATATTTCGTTTATCCGAAGACTCTGCGTAACCTCCAACGTGGCTCTGGCTAAGTGTCGAGCAATGTCAGTTTTCGCATTCAGTCGAGACATTCGTCCGAAGCTAGACTGTGTTCAAGAAGCGAGTGAAGATACCTGCTTAAAGAGCGTGAGTATCAATAGCTTTATTCGACAGTACCAGTTAATACGCTGAGGTTAAGATTGAAACATCTTGATGTTTAGCTTTGTTATATTGACAACATTGCTGATATCGTTTGTCTTAAGGCAAGAGGTAAACTTTAGAACCCAATACTTGAACGAGAAAAAGCACTACTTTTTTAACTACTAAACCGTTTACTAAAGGTTCAAGACAACGGAGCAGACCTCGCGGCAGCGGAAGATATGAATGTAGCTGGAGCAGCTAAAAAATATAACTTACATCCAGTATTCCATGAAGTTTACGGAGAAAAGAAAATGCCTAACTATGCTGTCGCTGTTGTTAAGAAGGGTTCACAATATACGAAAATGGAAGATTTAAGAGGAAAGAGGTATAAAACTTAAATATACAATAATATCCATTAAAGTTTCGATGACAAAAGTCCAAGGTAGTGACCCGTATAGCTCTTGTAGTTTATCTTGATCTAGTATTTTATTTGAAATAAATCGCACTGTTAATACAATAGTGTATTAACTCAAAAAGTGTATTTTCTCAGAATCGACGAAAAACGAATTACTTGCTTCCCGTGAAATATCTGTATAAATTGATGTATAGGTTATTTCCTACTTACCAAAAATACATATTTAAAAATTAGAGAGAAAAGGCCAGAACTAGCTCACATAAAGCGTGTCTAATTTTGAGTTAAATAGTTAAGTAGATATATTTTAGTTGTTTTTTACAATATTCTAACGCCGGTTTTATTGACGTGTAGAGAATCAAATTTTGCGTTCAACAATGATATAATCTTGATTTTCACATATTTCGAGTTATAACACTATTGTAATAGCAGTGCGAAATATTTTAAATGATAAAAATACAAATGCTTATTAATAAACAGCAACCTCTGAGTTTCTTACTCATTCTTTTCAGGGGAATCTGCCTTAGGAATGAGTAATCGATGTAACGATTTCAACGTGTAATTTGCTTACCTATTAAATAAAGATTATTGAGTTTAAGTTTGAGTTTGAATACACAACTTGTTACAGATCTTGCCACAATTCGTTTGAATCATTCAGTGGTCTACATGCTCCGCTATTCCATCTCATCAACAAAGGACTAATTAAAAATGACCAAGTAAGTATTTCAAAAATTCATTTACGAAATGAAATGGTAAAAATTTCAGAGACGATTTGTAATTTCAAGTATGTTTTCAGTGTGTGAAGAATTTGGGAGAATTTTTTGCCGGTGGCTCATGTTTGCCTGGCGTTGATAAGGCTGAACATAATCCATTAGGTAGGTGGTAATAGTATATTAGAACGAAGACAATAAACTAACATTAAATCGATCTATAAACTAATCCTTTTTTATAGGCACGGACGTGATGAACCTCAAGAAACAATGCACAAGCGATACCGACCACAGCCCATTAAGTTGTATTGAAGGAAATCGTGGTGACATCGCCTTTGTGTCAAGTAAGTCATTGTTCTAAATGACCTTTAAGTCTCAATATACCTCGATAGTTACGATAAATTAGGACATAGTGGCATAACATACCGCAGTACTGTAGGAAATTAATTATCTTGCATTTGGAAGAAACAGTGAAAGAACAACACAAATACGAATTTAAGTGATGAGCTTTAACAACTGTCGAAAAAAAATCTTGTCATTTACATTCATCGTTAGTGTTCCGATTATTTAACAATTATATTCTGTTTGCAAAAGCCAAAATTTCTTGTATATACCCTGTATATAGACTGTCACTCTCGTCTAATGTGGCAGAAGCGTACTTACAAGCGTCCGACCCGATATCGCTACGACCACCCATCTCCGACTTCCCCGAGTGACATCATCATTAAGTCTTTTTGAATGTAGACTCTCGGTCACAGACCCTATTTTGCCAAAATATCACCTTTTGCATGACCAAATATTGTAATAACAAAACGACTTCTGATAACTTCCGTCTTTAGCGTGATTAAAATAACCAACCCTCAACCCCGCCCCCATTATTCTTATCAGAGGCCACCATGATCTTTGCTCGAGATAGGTAGTTTTCACGTGCAGTCAGTCGTCTTTTCTCTTGTATTAGTTCATGTTTAAGTACTCACTGACGTCGAAGTTTATGTGAATGTCTAAACATTCACAGAAGCAACGACGTCAGTACAAATTAAGTCTCGTTTTTACCAATAATTTATCATTGTGCTCTACCGACCGACTTATTTTATTTAGCATGTTCATACCTGTTATTGTTAGTAATCATCAATTACCTTTGCAGGTGCTGATTTATCAAATTACGATTCGTCAAAATACGAGCTTCTCTGCCTAAACCGCGATGCCGGTGGCAGGGATTCTCTGGATAAATTTGACACTTGCAATATTGCTATGGCGCCTTCACGCACCTGGCTTTCCGCGAAAGATTTCCTGTCAGACGTGTCTATTGCGCACACACCACTGAGTCTTGCGCAATTATTATCCGACAGGACGGATTTGTTTAATATTTATGGAGAATTCTTAAAGAACAATAATATTATTTTCAATGTAAGTCTTTGTAATCCGTCCATTTCTTTATCCTTAGATACGCTCTTAAACTTTAGATGTCTTATTCGTGTTATTTTCTTCCAGAATGCTGCTAAAGGATTAGCAACAACAGAAACATTAGATTTCGAAAAGTTCAAAACTATCCACGACGTCCTTTCTAATTGTGGAGTTGCTTAAATACGCCTTATTTTAAGTCCTAATCTTAGTATATACTGACTTACTAACAAAAAAACACATTCTGATTTTTCAATTTGTTACATCACTTATAAACAGGTTGAATACATTAAATAAATACTATGAATAAGTACATTTTCTTTCTATTTTCAAGGCTGCTAATAACGTAGCAATATGGGTAGCTAAACCATGTGTTTCATATCCGTACGTTATAGACTCTCACGATATATTATGTGGGTCCGATTCCTAAGCCGTGTTCGAATGATGCTGGAAGGGACTTAACAGAAAAAGTGTAGCCAAAGAAAAATGCAGGAGAATAGACATCGACTGGCTCGTATTGCTCCTCTACTCATACCCTGACATTTCTTGATCATTGATCAGAAAACCGTCTGAGATATTTAATAATCTGAGATAATTAATAATAATAAAATAAAGTTTTATTTTATTTTTTTTAATCTGTGTTATATTACAAAATTTAAAAAGTGGGCAATAGTAATTCTAACAAGTTATAAGAAATGGAAATGCATAAAAAATAAAAGCTTGTAAAATATAACTGAGCATTATATGTATAGTCCGACCTGAGCCATGTGTAGAAAAAAAAAGTAGTAGGTACATCGGCGGGATTGTTGTAATTTTACATTCAATTTTAATTAAATAATCATTTATTTGTAATATTGCTGATTAATTTCCTCGCAATCGAAGTGAAAAGCAAAGTGTGTACTCGTTCATAAAACCCATTTTACCTTCAACTTAAGTATCCATCCTCGCCTGCGGCTCGGGTAAAATTACGCGTTTTATGCACATGTTGTACTATATACTATTTTCTAATAATAATAATAATAACGCATAGAATGATAGTTTCATATCAAACGAACGGTCACAAGTGAGGCAAAAATCAAATTCATGTAGGCTAGTTTTAGTAGTAGGTTAATTTTCGGTTTTAGTGAATATTTATATAAAAATACAAGTTGAAACGCGTCACTTCCTTGTGGAATGTGATGTTAGTGTCTATTTTATGTTTGTCTGACCTATTTTTACACTCATTTACCGCACATTTCGTCATTTTTAGCTAAAATTCTTGAGCTGTTCGCGGTGCAAGTTAACCTTGAGCACTGACGGCCCGCCCGCTCGTGTAGGCCCATTGGGAGCGCTTCAATTTGCCTCACTTAGCGTGTGCGGACTAAGTTTCTATGCGTTAATATTCTAAGAATAATAATAAATATGTTTATTTCTCACCACAAAATACAACACAATATAAATCTTAGTAGGTACGTTACAGTAGTATATTGTGGGAGCTAGTGCTTGATGTAGGTATTTCACCTGTATTACAAGTCACCAGGCCACACCCCTTGAATAATGAGATTTAATTACTAAGTAATAAGGAGTAAGTGAGTAGATGATTAAATTTGTTAAAATAAGTAAAAACCATAAAAATAAAAAATAAAAAAACATAAAAACTAAGTGCGTCGTGCGTGCGTGTGTGTGTGTGGGTGGGTGGGTGTCTGTGTGTGTTTCTGAGTTATTATTCATAAAACCAAGAAAGATACAATTATTTATTAATCTATTACCTACTTCCACAAAAATAACAGATAATGATGTATATCTTAGCATTTAGTAGCAGTAGAGCTCCTTATGTAAGAAACTATTTCTGCCACCAAGCAATAATGTGAGCATGTACAACAAAGTTTAGGAAACAAGCTTTTTTTAGGCCACTGAAATTTATAAATGTAAATAAAACCTGTGTATTAAATTATGATTCGAAATTTTTTTTAAAATAAAACAAAAAAGCAAGTGTGAAATTTGAAAGGAAAACCCTTATATGGGCGCAGCGCACAGATTTTTCTAATGTAAGCAATTGAGGGTTTATTATCACTTTACATTTGTTGTTCATAAGTTAAACAATAAAATTAATGGTTGTTTTTGTCAATTTTTGTGATTTCCCGCGTCATGTCACCACGTCATTTAACGCGGGAAGAGATGCTTACGGCTGTATGTATGTTGGAAGCTGGGAGCAATCAGCGTGATGTTGCAGCCGCTGTTAATTCGCAACCAAGCGTAATTTGATGATTATGGGCACGCTACAGAACTACCGGAAATATAGCCACAAGTCACCGAGGAAGATCGTTTTTTGCAAAATGATCCACAACTGATAGAAGACCGAGTGCTTGTTAGTGACCAAATTGCTAAGACAAAGATTATATGAAAATCAAATTCATACACGGAGACTGCTAAAAGTTCCAGCTCCACGACGTGGAAATCGAGGACATCGTTTATTGTGAGTAAGACACATTGGGACTGAAACTCAGTGTACGCGTGTGCTTTTTTCTGACCCGTCTCGTTTCGGTTTTTATCCCGATTTAAGAAGAGTGCGAGTTTGCCGAGTTCCTGGCCGCGACATCGACTTCAGTATCCTCAAGTTCATGATTTGGGCTGGAATTCGCCGGAAAGGAAGAACTGGTCCCGTTTAGACAAGGCAATTTGAATGCGCAACGATACTGCAACTCATGGCAATCCCAGCCAGCAGACAGCAGCTCAGCCAAGATTTCATGTTGATGCTCGATAATGCACATGTACACACTGCAAGCCTGGTGAAGAATGTGTTCCGCGAGCACGATATCGCGTTATTACAGTGGCCTGTTCAATTGCCGATCTCAATCCCATTGAACATGCATGATATTTGTTCGCGAGAAAAGCATTAAGCAATCGTCCCTGAAGTTTACGCACAGAAGAAGAGCTTTTTTCACATTTTTCCAGAGTATGGTGTCTTATTTCACAGACCACGATTGACAACCTCATATTTAGGTACTATGCCACACCGTCGCGTCGTAGAGCAATCGCTAATACTTTGTGAGAACCGACCATTTAAAAATCTTATTTAATATCTTTTTGTAATAATTATCACAGTTACATACAATACATTTATTTTTAATTTTAAATATCTTTTTAATTTTGTCACAATTTTGTTATTTTATAATAAATGTCGACTTTTTATTTTATCAATAAAATGAATATTAAATAACGCTTTTGATGTACAGCATATAAGGAAATAGTTTGTTAAATTTGAAAAAGAAAACCTCGTTCTCTAGACTTTGTTGAGCAGTGTAGTTATTATATATTAGTATATAATAATTTGTACAAGAACATCATTTCTTATACAAATAAAATATGAATATACATAATGTGTATATAACTTTTTAATCAATTAACTATATTTATTAACGGTCATAATTTTGTCCAAATCTATAGAAACATTTCTATGCGTTAATTAGACAATGCTGACAGAAAATCACAAATTTGTACTCTACTCAATATTAATATTCTTCGTTCGTCATGAACGAGTATGGAGTGGAATTTCCTGCCAGCAAACTGATCCCTAAACGCTATAACTTGTGCCTATTCAAGGCGACAATGAATAGGCAGGTAGGTGTGCATGCTCACCGAGGTATACTGATGATATATATATTCAATATAATAGCAAATTTTGTGTTAATCGAGTATATATTTTAGATTTATATGACAGATAGTCTTCGAAGAAAAAGTTATCAGCTTAGTTGAAAATACTTCGATATAAAAAAATACAACTGAAATTAATTTCGTGTCATATTTATCTTACCGACTACAGTAAATAAGAAAGCAATCTCCGTCTACGCTGCCTTTGAACATGTAAAAAGTTCGCAAAACCTTTTTATAATTTCCTCAGGTTCCGTGAAAATATCCCGTTTTCTTGGATCATCCACACCTATGCTTTTTTTAAGACGTCTTTTTTGTAATTTGTAATATAAAGTTTACGCACATTTTTGTAATTATTTTTTTATTTAATCATTTATTGCACTGGAAAACACAAATCGCATTAAGCAAAAAAGGAAAACACAAACAACAGGTACTGCTTATTTCAAAAAGAATAATTTCTTCTTTCAGACCAAAATACAGGACACAATAAAAAACTATATGAATACTGAGATAAACACATATTTCATAATATAATACCTATAAATTGAATGGACTAGTGGACAATCAGTGCTCCTTAACTCTCATTTTGAAAATAGCAGTAGAACTCCTTGTGAAAGAGCTTGTCCAGGGAATTACTGCCACCTTACCTATTTCTGCCGCCAAGCAGTAATGTCAGCATTACTGCGTTCCACTTTTGAAGGGTAAGGGTCAACTTATGTCTCAGGGTGACGGGCGCAGTAGCAGCGCCCCTCAGATCTTTGCGATTTAAAGCTCTGAGTGGCACTGCAACTGTTATGGACAGGCGTGTAGCTTCCCATCAGGCACACTACTTGTTCGTCACGTCACTTGACATTATAAAAAAAGTGCGCTCCATAGTCTGACCGCACGAACAGTGAAGGAGTGAGAATAAAAACAGCAACTGAAGGATGGAAAAGATAAGAACTTATGAGAGAGCAGCAAGGCCTATCCTGGGACCCGAGAAAGCTGAAACGCGCTTTCAGATACCCGGGAGACATGTGGTTATGTACAATATTGTAGAGAACGGAGACAATATGCAAATTCCTGCGGCGACGAATGAGTAGCCACTTGAGCTGACTGCGATAATGTGAACCCTATTATGCAAAATTACGCAAATTTTGCAACCGTTCAAGCTTATTTAGCAGTCATCTTCGTTTAAACAAAAGTACTTTTTAAAATAATAAAAAAATATATATAAAAAAATCAAAATTGCTACTAAGCAATAGTAGTTAGTTACTAAATTACCTTCATTGTATGATGCACGACAAAGTGAACAAGCACTTTCCTTGACACCTGTAATGGAAATTCTAGATAATATACTACAGTTCACATAACTTTGCAAACAAACAACTTTAGCAAAATTCAACACATGCCGTTGTCAAAGTTAATGAAATTGTTGTATTAAACTGTTGCAAAACATAACCACATGATTTCAAATGTAGTGTAGGTACTGCGCGAAATATTACATAATATTCAATACAATCCTTTGCTTTTCATTAATTAACAGTACTTTTCATCATGTAAGTAACTTTTAATGATAAAGAATGTCAGATATTATATTTGATTTAAGTCCAAAGGAAATCAGCGCGCACTTTTAAATAATTTATTTAATAACACACGGTAGTTCTAAAGAGGTTTACGGTCT